ATGAGGGTCATGAATTGAAGAAAGACTGGATTAGAGACAAAGGAGGTAATGGAGACTTGAAAGATTTGTTGTAGAAGTTGGAAAGGAGTAAATTTACCCCATGTTGGTTCCCTACAGAAAGCCCCTTCTGCCCAGAGGAGAAGCTAAAGGAGAATGAGAATTTTGGAGTGAGGGAACTGAGAGGAGAAACGGAGACATTTAGACTAAGAAGAAAAATCCCAAAAGGCGCAGACTCATAGAACGGAATGAAGGAGGCAACAGTGGCACCTGAGGCAAAACAGGAACATGTTGCCACCTGCCCCTGTGCCACCATGATCCACCAACCCCTTCTGCCACTGCTGGAATATCCCAGATCTTGCCCAAACTCAATGAGGGTCAGGGCATTCTGCAAGGCATTGCCACTCACTGGAATGCCGCCCTCTTGGAAGTAGTGGATCAGGCTGGGCACCACCTCTTGCACTTCTACTGCCTGAAGCGGGTGCCTCACCCCACCTTATGGTTGGGCAGGCTCCGCTAGCAGCTCAATACTGGTGACTCCCCACTTGCACAGGTGTTATGCTCCAGGAACCCACAGAGATTAATGAAATGGGCGTAAGCGGGGAGTATTCAGGCTCACGAAGAGACCCTTCCCAGAACCCAAAGAGGACATCCTCTTCAGACTCCAGAGAGGGTCTCCTTGTGAGCTGGAGGGGCAGTGGGGTTTTCTTGAGGAAAAACTAAAAATCAATATTGTTTATTAACATATTGTTGGAGCTATCAGTTTGAAGGACCCATTATGGAACAAGAGGCCTGGCCACTTTGGCCTACTGACCTTGTTTCATAAGTGCTGCTTTGCAGGGCTTCTGCTGGTGCCAAGCCACAAATGGCTAACCATGCTTGCCTTTGGAAAGCTATCAGTCTGCCAAACTTCAGTCAGATCTTTACAATGAGTATTAATTATAATTGGTTCAAGACAGCTTTGGGCCATAGTTTTGCAAAAAGAGAGATAATCCCCTCCTTTCTCTGCAAGTTCAAACTGGCAAGACAAAAAAATAATAATGTGCCCAGTTTTGAAAGGGCGTTTTCACAGGGAAGTGTTGTGCCAATTTCTTTTCCTTCTCATTCTGCTTTAATCAGAATCTGGGATAGGGGGAGAAGCTTCCACACACTTCTGAATTTTGTGGGAGGAATTCAACGTGGTGCTATGGTGGAATCATCAGCACAAGAATTTCCACTTGCCAGAAGCAATGAATGCCCCTTTCCTCTCCCTGCAAGCTGTTCTGTTGGTTCTCCAGACACCCACCCCAAGTCAGTTTGGGGAAATATGTGAAGGCCATGGGGGAAGAGTGGGGGGGGGAGCCTGGCTGTGCTATTGGAAGTCCTTGTGCTGGCTTCCACCACTATGACCAACTAGTTGAATTTGGCCCTAAGGATTAACATCCTCTGTATCTCATTCAGACCACTGGATGGTAAATTACTGAAATGTGCTTACTTTGTATATGCGAAGACCCTTCCATTTCTCCACCTGCTTCACCTCACTGAGCGTGCACAGAAATCACAAAGTGCAGCTTTTGGAATTGTACACCCACAGAAAATGTAGTGTTGTGCAATTGCCGCCATCTGTCCACATGTCTAATTCCTGCAGCACCTGTAGATGGTGGGATGACAGCACTTGAAATTTTGTTTTTATAGTGCAACAGGGCTTGTGCTTCTTAAAAAAAGCTGACATACATCTACGATCTGTTGTACAGATCTGCTGTACAGTAACTCTTGCAGGTTTGGCTTTTCAGTCTTGCAGGAGACCTGCACTCTCTCTCTCTCTCTCTCTCTCTATATCATGGGTAGGCAAACTAAGGCCTGAGGGCCAGATCCGGCCCAATCGCCTTCTAAATCCGGCCCACAAATGGTCTGGGAATCAGCGGGTTTTACATGAGTAGAATGTGTCATTTTATTTCAAATGCATCTCTGAGTTATTTGTGGGGCATAGGAATTCGTTCTTTTTCTTCTTCTTTTTTCAAAATATAGTCTGGCCCCCCACAAGGTCTAAGGGGCAGAGGACCGGCCGCCTGCTGAAAAAGTTTGCTGACCCCTGCTCTATATGTATGGTAACTGAGGATCAAGCTGGATTGTGCCCTTCTGTAGACATCTCTTGATGCTCAAAACAATCAAATACTTATGTGGCTACTTTTTTGTCATTCCCCCAGCCATAACAAAGAAATCAAAGATCTCTTATTGTCGCCATGATGAAACTCCTTGATCACTACTTGCAGCAGTATTTTCAGTGGCCCTTGGGCTAAAGTGAAAGCAAAAAAGGCAGCTTGCTATGGTTACCCGTGAAAATAAAATGGTGATGAACCAAACTGGGGCACAGGAGGCCTGATAGTAAGCCACACTGCCAAGATGCATCACATAAAGGTAAAGGGACCCCTGACCATTAGGTCCAGTCGCGGACGACTCTGGGGTTGTGGCACTCATCTCGCTTTACTGGCCGAGGGAGCCGGCGTACAGCTTCCGGGTCATGTGGCCAGCATGACTAAGCCGCTTCTGGCGAACCAGAGCAGCACACGGAAATGCCATTTACCTTCCTGCCAGAGTGGTACCTATTTATCTACTTGCACTTTGACGTGCTTTCAAACTGCTAGGTTGGCAGGAGCAGGGACCGAGCAACGGGAGCTCACCCCATCGCGGGGATTCGAATCGCCAACCTTACTGATGAGTTTTGCTTTGAACCAGATTTGAAACAGCCAATTTTTGTGACCATACTGGTCATTACTATACTTTCCCCCCACTTTAGGGGAAACTCATGTAATGCTAGGTCTGGGTGGGGTGCACTGGGATATGGTTCAACTCCAGCAGGATGTTGTGATGATACACAAAAATGAATGCCTAAAACACTGCAAATATGAAATAAATGGCTGGAAAGGCAGTGCCCAGAGGAATAAGCAGTGCAAATAATATTTGTCCTGTGTCATAAGAATTTACCAAACTAATTTGGAACATCCCAAACTGAGGCCAATCCAACTGAGGAACCAGTTCACACTCCTCCTCAGCAATACGCCTAATAGTTGTTTTCCTCTTAAATATTTCCTAGCCACTTCATAAGTGTTGGCAGACATTTCCCATTAAATACCACAGCAGTGAAGTGAATGTAAACAGATAATTACATATATTTCTTGTACTACAAAGGGCTAGACGGAACGAGATTAGCTTCTCCAACAAAGTGTAGCTCTGGTTCGGCCTACCCTTCGTGTAATTGGCTGTCCCCCTTAATAATCTCCAAGCACTTAGCAGACCCTCTCAGTGTCTCTGTTTTCCAGGGACAATGCTGGATTTACAGAAGCTGTCCTGGTTTCTGTTTTAATCCCAGAATGTCCCACTTTCCCCTATTTTCATCTGAGAAAAGTTGGAGGGTATGGAATAGGATTTCCCCAGTGCTTTTTTTTTCATCTGGAACTCACAGAAACACAATTCTGGCCCCTCTCAGGTGGGTGCCATTATAAGAGAACAAGAGTTCTTGGTGAGTTCCAGCACCTCTTTTTCTAGAAAAATAGCACTGGGTGTTCCTACTTTCATTAAATAAATGTTGGAGGATATGACTTAATTGCTTATGGTCACAAACTCAGTGCAGAGTTAGACCCACTTAAACCACCTAATTTCAACAGGAAGAGATGTGGGCATAGAGGTGCGCCAGATTGTGGCTGCTGAAATCACATGCATGAGATGGAAATGGCATCTTCATCCAGAAAAATAAGCACCTTCTAATTGTGGCAAGTGCACCACACAAGCCAAAGTATTACATAGTGCTGTGGTGGGCTGCACTACAATATGTACTCTTGGTTAGCCTTTGCATTTTGCTATGTGCATTTTATATCTATATATCTATATCTAATCTATATTTCTCATATTACTATTTTTTTAAAATGCCTTTTGACACTTTAATTGAGCCAAAAATGCATCGCCCTAAACGGCCTCGGTCCAGTATACCTGAAGGAGCGTCTCCACCCCCATCGTTCTGCCTGGACGCTGAGGTCCAGCACCGAGGGCCTTCTGGCGGTTCCCTCACTGCGAGAAGCCAAGTTACAGGGAACCAGGCAGAGGGCCTTCTCGGTAGTGGTGCCCTCCCTGTGGAATGCCCTCCCACCAGATGTCAAAGAGAACAACAACTACCAGACTTTTAGAAGACATCTGAAGGCAGCCCTGTTTAGGGAAGCTTTTAATGTTTGATGTATCACAGTATTTTAATATTCTTTTGGAAGCCGCCCAGAGTGGCTGGGGAAGCCCAGCCAGATGGGCGAGGTATAAATAATAAATTATTATTATTATTATTATTATTATTATTATTATTATTATTATCGCAATATTTGGAAAAGTGCAAAATCTGCACATTAGACCAAGAGGTGCGACTCAGGCCAGTTTGTACTGGCATTTGCAGAGACTGAATTCCCCAAGCACCCCTAGTATATGTTGGCTTGTGGCTATGTGTTAGTACTAGTGCTTCCCCCCCCCAAAAAAAATGTTTAGGGGTACTCTCATTTTCCTATTCATAATTAAATACTGCCCCTCAATGAAGCAAACTTAGATTCACAAAATGTTTAGGGGTATGTGTAACCCTGCGTCCGCCCCCCCCCCCCCGAGAAAAAAAAAGCACTGGTTAGTATCCATAGCCTTGCATGGAATGATTCTTTATTTTTCACTTTGCTGCATTTAAAATGAACTCACAACTGCCTTGTTTTAACTACTAGACAAAAGGAGATAGAAGGCCCTTGCGATATCTCTTAGCATTCAAACAGCCTGAAAAGGAATGAACTGGAAATGTTAAATCACTCCTTAATCAGTGTATAGTTTTACCACATGTTTCTTTTGATTCACTCGGGGTTTGGGTCATAATTGAGAAAACATCCTGACATGTTCTACTTTTGGCCGGTTGCTCTTGTGTGATCTTTCAGTCAACCTTCCCAAACTCTCTTTTTCCATTTAAGACTGAGGAAGCCTCTCCACCCTCACTGTGTGTGCATCTAGATGGTTGTAAAGTGAGTAATTTTTGCTTTGAGTTGTTTTTTTTTCCTTTTTCAACTACAAGTGCCTGTGCATGTGCGCTCACCTCACAAACAAAACTACAAAAGGCAGGCAGGAAGGAGGAAGGGAGGGGGGGAGAGAAAGCCAACAGGTTGATCTGGATTACATCAACAGTCACACCCTCCTTACTTTATGAACATAGCAGAACAGGTGTTTGTAATTCATTAGCTAAACTGAGCTCAGCGCAGACAGGAATTGAAATCTGCTCCGCTCCCTGGTGTGCTTCTTCTCTTTCTCCGTAGTACCTACTGCTTCATCCGGCCTCCTTGTAGCCGCAATGAGTAGCCACTCGAGGGACTTCCGGAGCCGTAGCAACAGCAGCTCTTTCGCTTCGCCAGGAGGCTCTTTTAGCATGCGAAGAGAGCGCTCGTGCTCCCCTTCTTCAAGGTATGGGGCCTGCAGCAGCCCCACCATGGGGGTGAGCACCAGCAGGAACAACTTCAGCTCTTCAAGCCTCACCGGACACAGCCGCTGCTCTTACCCAAAGGTTTCGGTCAACAAACGGCTTCTGACACCGCTACACCTGGATATAGATCCCTCCTTGCAGGAGATAAAGACCAAGGAGAAAGATGAGATCAGGACACTCAATAACCAATTCGCCGCCTTAATTGGAAAGGTAAGATTGTATACTATTATTTGAATGGGAAGGTAAGATGACGCCTCTCTTTGTATTGACCAATGTGCAAGACAGTGTGAGAGAGCTGCTTTAGGTGGCTGCTTCATGTGGCAGCTTTAGGGTACCATTGTAAGGTGGCAAGTTATCACCTGTGTATGTTGCTGTTAATTGCTGTAATTTCAGTTCTCTGCTTCAGGTACCAGGACAGCTCTGGCGCAGTCCAAAGACTATCAGTATCTAATGCCACACAATATAAGTTCCAAGATTTTATTTCTAGTCTTACTAATCCAAAGCCAACAGCAGTTGTGAAGTACTGTTGTCAGTCCTCAGGTGTAACAGGTGGGGATAGCCTTGGTCTGTGTGTTTATGGGGGGTGGATGGTTGCTGTTTACAGGTTTTTTAATAAATGGAATAAGAACAAATAGGTTCTCCAGCTTAGGAGACTAAAAGCGTATAGCTTCAAAGGAATATAATTAGGTTTGTGATAATGGCTAGGCATCATCAAGAGCCCTGCTGGTCCAGGCTGATGGTTCATTTAGTCTAGCATCTGTTCTCATAGTAGCCAATCAGAGGCCTGTGGGAGACCCATAAGCAGAACATGAGTGCAACAGTACCCTGCCTGCTTGTGATCCCTGGTAACTGGTATTCAGTTGAGGTAGAACATAGCCAACATAAGTAGCCACTGATAGCCCTTTTCTCCATGCCTTTGATTTCTTTATAATCCTCTTCTGAAGCTGTCAAAGTTGGTGGCCTTTGACACTCCATGTGGCAGTGGATTCCATTGTTTAGACTCTGTGCAAAAGTACTTCTTTTGCCTGTGCTCCCACCATTGACCTTCACCAGATGATCCCCTGCTTCTAATGTTATGAGAGAGGGGTGATAGACTTCTCTCTATCCACTTCCTCCATAGCATGCATAATTTTTATGATAATGTGCCCCTTTACTTGCCTTTTCCCCGCCTCGCCCCCCCCCCCAGAACTAAGGAAGGCCCAATCATCATAACCTTTCCTTATAGGGGGGATTGCTCCAGTCCCTCCATAGCCTTCAAAGTGGCCCACAATTTTTTAAAGACACCCACAGTGGGATGGTACAGAAGAGGAAGCATGGGGTTGGGAGGGAATATTTGCAAACAGAACAAAAGGTCACAAACCTGCAGACACATGGGGAGAGTGGCTATGTCTAGTAACATTGCAGGCATTATGTAATAAGTGACCAGAGTCACATGCACATTTAAAGCACATTTATACCATGGCTTCCATCAAAGAATCCCGAGAGCTGTGTTTTCCCCTTTAAATATATGTTTTGGATATGATTCATGTTGCATAGAGTAAAAAATCAGTCAGAGCGGAGATGAAATGTGATGCAACCACCATTTTCCTTAAAAGGAGATGACTAGGTGTTATGTGACAAATGATAACAACTGTCTATTAGTGCATTCAAAATAGTCGCATGAAAGGCCCCCAGGGTGACAAAAATGCCCTTCTGAGGATCTCTGTTGAGCAGCTTCCCAGGGAATTATGGGGATTGTAGTTTCAGGAGAATTCTGTTAAAGATTGTAACCATCCCACTCACAGAGCTGCAGCAACTACATACCCTCCAACATGCAGCTATGCAACTATAGGTTCTTGGGGAAGGTAATGTCTATTAAACAAGTTTTCAGTCAGCAGGATAGGTTTGTACCTTCATAGTTTGTACCTTCTCAGCTGCTCCATTAGCATCTGAACGACTTGAAGAGAAGAGCAAAGAGGACTCAAAAGTTGCCATTCAGTCATCCCTTCCTACCCTCTAACTAGCCCTTCATCCCTCACTGTTGCCACTGGAAATAAAAGAGGCATGAAGATAGAGGCATGGAGATATAAGATAACAGAATTCTAGACTGCACCACTTCAGAATGTGGTGGGGTGCCATGTTCTCAAATGCATTCCAAAGTTAAAAGTTCCAAACATGTAATAAACTAACAAATCCTAGAGAATATTCCTGATGTCCTAGTTTACTTCATGGAGGGAGCATTCAAAAACATGCCCCTACATACCACCTTACTGTCTGAAGTGGATTTAAGAAAAGGTTTCATTCATTCATTCATTCATCATGCTTTTCTGCAAACCGTTCTAGGCACCTAACAAAATCGTCAGGACTATAATACAGTCAAACCTCGGGTTAAAGACGCTTCAGGTTAAATCATTTCAGGTTGCGTCCCATGGCGACCTGGAAGTACTGGAAAGGGTTACTTCTGGGTTTCACCGCTTGCGCATGCACAGACACTCAAAGTGACGTCACACGCATGTGCAGAAGTGGTGAATCGCGACCTGCGCACGCACAGACACGGGTTGCGTTCTGCTCATGTTGCGAACGGGGCTCCAGAATGGATCCCATTCGCAACCAGAGGTACCACTGTAATTATAATACTACAAACATGATACAAACAGCAGAAGCAGCAAATTAATAAAGTCCATGCACTAATAATGCAAAAAAAATATGAAGGCAGTGGGTGAATAAAACCCATGAGCTCCCAAAAAACCATTCAATCAAAATGCTTAATATTTATTTATTGCATGCATATTCCATCTTTCCTCCAAGAAGCACAAGGGTGGCATACATAGGTCCCTCCCCCATCACAACAGCCCTATGAGATCGGTTGGTCGAACAGCTGATAGCTGGCCCAAGGTCACCTTAGAACCTTCATGGCTGAACGCAGAATCTGGTTTCCCAGGTTCTAGTGCTTGAGAGTATGGAACAGCCATTATCTGATGCCAAAATATAGTAAGTACCTAGGAAATGAGTTCCACAATACTGGTGCTATCACCAAGAAGGCACCTTCTCTCTCTGTTAGCCATGATTTGCCTGATGTCAGAAGGCAACAGCATCTGGAACAGAAGGGCCTGTGACGATCTTTGTTGAGGGGCAGCTTCATGGAGGTGAAGATGGTATTTCAGATACTCAAACCTATGCCATTTCAGGCTTTGAAGGCCCAAACCAGGACCTTAACTGGAGATGGAAATGAACTGGCAAGCGCAGAAGGTCTTTTGATGCAAACACCTCTATCTTCCAGCACATCCTGTTCAATGTGTACAATAGGTATAAGGCCTTACCTCTGATGGCAGGAAGGTCCTTTGCCAGGCACCACATATAGCCTTATGAAGTTAGGCAAACACCAAGTGATCTTCCTTGGTACTTTCAGCAGGGAAAAGCACATGGATACAGTGGTGCCCCGCAAGACGAATGCCTCGCAAGACGAAAAACTCGCTAGACGAAAGGGTTTTGCGGTTTTTGAGCTGCTTCGCAAGACGAATTTCCCTATGGGCTTGCTTCGCAAGACGAAAACGTCTTGCGTTTTTTGCAAGTTTGTTTCCTTTTTCTTAACACCGTTAATACAGTTTTGACTTGACTTCGAGGAGCAACTCATAGAACGCGGTGTGGTAGCCTTTTTTGAGGGTTTTGGTGATTTTTGAAGCTTTTCCAAAACTTTTCCGACACCGTGCTTCGCAAGACGAAAAATTCGCTAGACGAAAAAACTCGCGGAACGAATTAATTTTGTCTTGCGAGGCACCACTGTACTTTTCATAGATCACTGGAGACGTCCTTTAGATTTGACCAGAATGAAAGCCTTTAGAAGTTTGAAGAAGAAATGTTACTGCAGCAGCATACAATTATCTCCCCACCACCTCTCTCCTGTGGTATACTAAGACCTCATAGGCAAGGCAGAAGGTTGTTTTCAAAGTGAAACAGTTGAACTACCCAAGGCAGGTTCCTGCAAAGCCCTCATGTTCTGTAAACAGATGGTAATCTCCTCAAGGATTGCTTCACTGAAGTGTCTAATGTAGGCAGCAAGTGCCAGTCTTAAAACCAAAAAATTACACACACACACACACACACACACACTGGCACCACTGTGATTTAATTTTAAGAGACACTGTTTATTCCTCAGTTATGTGAATACTACACCCAGTGTTTATGACATGCAAATGGATAAATGTGCAGGCATGTTCTCTGTTGTGTGAGCTATTGGAGACAAATGCAACTGAACTTTGATCTGGCTTTTTGACCATATATGGATTTTTAAACTCATTCCTGAAGAAACAGGAGGCACACTGGGAGCCAAAGTGATCGTCCTCCATGGTGTCAAATTGTGTTGGTCCTTGGTTCCATGGAGATGTATCTGGGATTACTCCATGAAAAAAGAACGATGGTTGACAGCTGTCCTTGAAAGGCAGCTTGCTCACCACTGCAGATCTTTCCCTGGAATACAAAGCTACAAGGGAGGGTGCTTGGAATGCTTTAGGCTACAATCACAGCTCATCAGGGGCAGGTCTGGACGCCAGCCTGCATGTACAACCCTCACCAGAATCCTCTGCAACACACATTGTTTTTGTGGGTCTGGAAGTCAAAGTACATGTTAATAAGGACTGAAAGGCAGCTGCCAATCAAAGTCTTTCCTCCCATGCCTCTCTACTACAACTTTTGTTAACCTGGTGCCCTCCAGATGTTTTGGGCTAAGGCTGATGGGAGTTGTAACCCAAAATTTCTGGAGGAAACCATGTTGGAAAAGGGTGATCGGCTGTAATCTTTAGAAAATGCATAACGCAATAGATGATGCTCAGAGATTCCATGCAACAGCATCCCTTCATCAGCTGCTGCCTTTTTTGCAGGGGGGTGGATAGGAAAACTGAGCATGACACCATCGAGTCAGGCATCATCTTTCAATGTTACGGGCAGTATAAGAGGAAAGAGATGTGTAGCTGTAGCTACACTGGAAGAAGATGCACATTCTGTCTAACATGTAGTTTGGGGTCCTTAAATTCAGATTGTAGCAGCTCTTTCCCTGGAGGCCACTTCCTGTAATCATTTCTTGCACACAAGTGCTCACATGGAGAACAGAAACAATTTTTTTCCCCCAAATAATATTTATTAGAGTTTCCAATAAGAAAAACACATCAATAAAAAAAGAAAAAAGAAAAATACACAGTTCAAAAATACACAAAACATAATCCAGAAAAAAGAAAAAAAGAAAAAGAAAAAGACAAAAAAGAAAACAGTTAAAAACAATACCACCTTTTCATCACCTTTTTAAAATTTACTTATTTTCTGGACCTCCTCATACCTCCCTCTTTTGTATTCCAGTTCAATTTGTTTGTCCAGCAATTTCTTTCCCTCTTTTTTAATCCCAATCCTTAATCTTAATATAGTATAACATTAAATTTTTACCTCTTAAAAGCCAAATTTCCATTTCCTTTAACTTTTTTAATCCTAATCCTTAATCTTAATCTATATATAACTTTAAAGCCTGTATAGCTAGAAGCCACTTATTTTCAATCCAACATCACTCTAACATTCTTTAATTTTACAATGTTTCTGCAGATAGTCTTTAAATTTCATCCAATCTTCCTCCACCGACTCTTCTCCCTGGTCTCGGATTCTACCAGTCATTTCCGCCAATTCCATATAGTCCATCATTTTCATCTGCCATTCCTCCAGTGTGGGTAGCTCTTGTGTCTTCCAATACTTTGCGATAAGTATTCTTGCTGCTGTTGTTGCATACATAAAGAAAGTTCTATCCTTTTTTAACACCGTTTGGCCGACTATGCCCAGGAGAAAGGCCTCTGGTTTCTTCAGGAAGGTATATTTAAATACCTTTTTTAATTCATTATATATCATTTCCCAGAAAGCCTTAATCTTTGGGCACGTCCACCAAAGGTGAAAAAATGTACCTTCAGTTTCTTTACATTTCCAACATTTATTATCGGAGAACAGAAACAAATCAGCAGAACCAGCCAATCACTGATTTAGTGGAAAGCTATTTCTATGACTGGAGAAGTCACCCTGCCCACTTTCCACCTCTTGTGATCAAGATTTGTGTGCTATATCTGAGACCAGCCAGTTCATACGTCTTTATGCAGAAGTGCCTGGCTGGAATTCTTTAAGTTTCGGGAAGTGGGAGGGATGAGCCCTGGGTTATTTTGGCAAGCTAGTCTTTCTCAATCTCTGTTCGCCATGTATAAAATGAGTATACCCGCCACCAAGAATTGTTGTAGGAGATAAAAGAATTGTAACGCATTTTGCACATTTAAATTACCATAGAAACTATTCAGTCTAATACTGCCCCCCCCCTCACCAAATGGGCATGATACAAATGACTTTGTAATCCAACGCTCAGCACTGCTGCACCAGCAAAACTGTACATGATGCCCTTCAGCTACATTGCAGTATCACACTGCTAGGCAGAATCGCTTTGGGGTTGGCACTTAAGCCCAGTCTCAGCATGTCAGTGTTGAAAAAATTCTCCTGTCTCCAGTGTGGCATCAAGCAACTTCACTTCTGCAGCCGTAATAGGGCTGGGCACTAGCCATGCGATGAGATAGTCCAGCTTCATAGGAAAGCAATGGTTGGTGAAATTCTGCCAGCCTGATGTAACAGTAGCAGGGTTATAAGTATAGAGGCAAATTTTCAAATAATTACTTACATTTCAGAGGAAGTAAGCCGGTTACTATCCCAGCTAAATCTCCCCAAATAAATTCTCCCGTTAATTTCCTTTTCCAGATTACCCAAATCTCCTTTAATTAATGAAAATCCCCGTTAGTTCCCTGTCCTGCTCCAAAATCACTTTCCCTTTTACTTTGTACCCCTGTTCATTGTCAGTCATCTCACTGTTATCCCTTCTGCTGCTTTAAAAATTGAATTAAGAAGAAATAGGTTGCATGATTCCTTTCAGGTGGAGGGAGGAATCGTACTATGAGGCAAGTTGGCTGGTGGGTGTCTGTCTATCTTTTTAAACTTAATTAAGCAAAAGGAAAGCCTTCAGCCAGGGACCAGCCTACCATTAGACAGAGTGAGGGAGCTGCCTCAGGTAGCAGGTGCTGGAGAACAGGGAGCACCAGGGAGCTGCTGGAGACCAGAGACATGTAGGTCAAGCAGTCTGTAAGATAAGCTACTGCTCTCAGGAACAGACTGCCCTGCCCAGTTGCCAGTGTTGAAATGGGATTCAGGTGGTAGCCCTATTGGTTTTTGTATGTGGAGCAGAGAGTGTGGGGGCTTCTTGTTCTTTGCCAAGAGCATCAAAATGTATTGGGCAGCATTGCCACTATCAGCTTGCTACCGCACTGCGTGAATTGTCATAGAATTGTAGAGTTGGAAGAAGACCCCGAGGGTCATCTTGTCCAACACCCTGAAATGCAGGATTCTCAACTAAAGCATCCATGACAGATGGCCACCCAACCTCTGCCTAAGAACCTCCAATGAAAGAGAGCCCAGCACTTTCTGATGCAGTCCCTTCCACTGTCTAGCAGCTCTTACTAACAGAAAATTCTTCCTTTCAGATTGTAACCTCAAAGGTGGAATCTCCTTTCTGATTGAAACCTCAACGCTCCCAAGAAGCAATGCTGCTTCCTTTTCCGTCCCTTGACCCTGGAAATGAAACTGAAATGGGGTTGTTTCCCACCCAGGGCACTTTGAGGATTCATTTGTGGCTTGCCTTTAAATTAAGGTGACCACTTAAATTAAGGTGACAGGGCTGTTTGGTATGAAAAGAGACTGCTTGGCCGTACTGGGTGGCAACACTCAAAGCATCCATCTCTGAAGCGCTGGAGAGCCTTGTAGATTGACTACCAGCAGGCTAGACAGACCAGCAGCCTGAGTCATACAAGGCAGCTATGTGTATTCAGAGAAGCATTTGGGGAGAGTTTTTGATGCCAGAATCAGGCATATATTAAGGCTGTTAAACCCAAAGCATAACAGATCAGTGATGCATCAAGTTTGGGCAAGGGTTAGAATGTCACATTGCCTAAGTAAGGGCATGTCACTGCTCAATCATCACAGAATGCACTACTCTTTGGCTAGAAACTCAGAAAATCTGAATTTTATCTTCTATAAATCAGCTAGCTGTATGATAATGATCATAGACTGGATTCACAAAGCAGAGATTAATTAACTCTGGAACTGGAGGTGTCTCCTTTTTCCTTCTCTTGGTCTATATGCGTACTCCATTTCCTTCCAGGTTTGTGTCTCTCTTTAACTGGAGCTGTTTTTGAACTTGTGCTCCTTTTATGCCAGTACGAGTGATTGCTCAATAGGACAACCATCTCCTTTGGAGCCTCTAGGTGCTGTATAATAATGCTATCAGACATCTCTCCTTGGTTGTTCATTGGCAGTTCCAAACAAACATTGGAAGCAGGAACCAATGGTGGTAATTAAATAAGGAAGAGGTTGCCAAAAGAGGGGGTGAATTCTCTATCATGTGCAATCTTTGGATAAAGAGAAGCAGATGCTCTTTAGAAAGATAATACTCTCTAAACACAGGTTGACAGGCTTGTTAGCACAGCAGCTTGAGCTAAAGCCAATAATCAAGAAATGTGATGAAAACTTAACATGTGAGGCCTGCACTGAAGTTTATAGGGGCTGCCATTTTCCTTCTTGACTCATTGCAAACTTGTTCAAATCTTCATCTGTTGAACTCAGTGCGAGAACTGTCAGTGGGTTGTTATTTATAGAGGCTTGTTTAATACATTTTTATTGTTTGCTGCGTAGCAATATGTTCACAAACTAGGGGCTTCGTTTTCTCCCTGGAGAAGAAAGGGGGAAACTAGGTAGAGGATGTTTGGTGAAATAGAACTGCAACTCTTTGAGGAGACCCAGTGAATGGATTTTGATTTAGCTATGCACAGTCATGGCTACCTAAGCCCATGTCACCTCTGCTGATTTCCTTTCACTTCAGTTTGTGGAGAGGAGTCACTGATACAGATGGGGAGAAAATAGTTTGAGTTTGCATGTGTGTCCACCTAATTGAAACTTCCTGAACTGAAATAAAGCAATGCTTCAAATTCTCACTTTTCTGAATTTTACGACTTAGTTCTCCAACTGAGAAATGCATACATTTTTTCTGGATCAGGTGAAAATGTGTATACAGAAATGCATTATATTGGGAGAAATTGCATGCAAAAATGTGTATATTAGAAGAAATGTACTCTAAAATGCTGGTGAATTTTCACGAGGATCTTTCATTTTAAAAACTTTCAAACTGATGTGGAAATGTGGGGAACTGAACTGAAGACTGGATACATGAGAAACCGAGATAAACCAACATTGACAGATCGACCCACTGCTAGTCACTGATCTGTGCTGAAAACAGCCTGGATTCTGCTTATCTGATTCTACCGGTGAACCCCATTTAGGTTGTTTTGCAGTGGTGGGTTTCAAAATCTGAACCCAGACTAAGTAATACTGTAGACTGAAGCAGCTGTAAGACGTCGGCATGGGATTACTGAAAACCGCAGTTGTGTGGCAGTGGTAAGAAAACTTGCACAGCTGGAATGAAATTGTGCCCCCACCCCAAAGAAGAGAGGCATCTTATTTGCATAAGATAAGATGCAGAAAGTGACACTCCTGCTGTACCTTATCTGATACATGCAAGAGATAAACATCCTTACCTCTCCACCAAGCCCTTTGCACAGAAGTTGGGAGAAGGAAGAAACAGCAAGTGTTCCTCAGCCTCATGCCAATTCCTTATCTCATCCAAACTTGGATGTAAGACTCTTCTTCCTGCTCAAGCTTTGAGCAAGTACAGAGCGAAGGCTAAGTTGCCCTTCCCTTGCAATGCAATTGGGAGAAAGGAAGAAACAGTAAGACAAACACCTGTATCGTTTTCTTCCCTTCAACAAACAGTCTTTGGGTAGCTGCTGGGTGTTGTTCCTCCTCGCCAGAGACCAAGGGGCACTCGCTTCTGGTACTCTGACCAGTGAAATTGTGGGTGCCTGTCCATAACTTCTTCTTTGACGTGCACAAGTTGATATTGGTTCATGGCTTTTATATTCTCTAGCCCAACCAACAATTATGGGTTGCATTCAACTGTAATTCTATAAATATGGGAGCACAGGAAGCTGGTCCATCAAGTTCAGTATTGTCTACGCTGACTGGCAGTGCCTCTCCAAGATTTCAGACAGGGTTCTCTCCCAGCCTCACCTGGAGATAATGGGGATTGATCCTGAACCTTCTGCTTGCAAAGCAGATGCTCTACCTTTTCAGAGCTGACCCATTTTAATAAATGGGCCTAAGTAAGCCATGCTTGTTAATTTCAGTAGGTCTGTTCTATACAGGATGAACACTGGATACAATCTTATGTAATTTGCATTGCAGAGCCAATTGTGATAACCCAATGAATCACTAGGAAGCATGGATCTTTTTTCTTTTGAATAATTTTTATTAATTTTTAACATATAAATTATAATACATACCACAAAACTTCACATCTTATACAATCTATTTTTGGACTTCCATCAGCACCTCTGATGATCCACCATTCTTATCACTTCTTCTGCATTTCTTAAATTCATATTGCCTTTAAATATCTTAGCTAACCATCCTCCCCTTTATCTATTTTTGCAATAATTCAAATAATTCACCTCACAAAACTTCTTGCAAACCTACAAACGTAATCTGATCATCACAATTACTTTTCAAATAGTCTGTAAATTTACTCCAGTCTTCTGTGAATCTCTGGTCCCACAGATTTTGAATTTTTCCTGTTAATTTATCTAATTCTGCATAGTCCATCAATTTCATCCTCCATTCTTCTTTCGTCGGTAATTCTTCTTGCTTCCATTTTTGTGCCAATAATATTCTTGCTGTCGTCGTTGCATATGAAAACAGCTTAAAATCTTTTCTATTTACATCACTTCCTACAATGCCCAGTAGAAATGCTTCTGGTTTCTTTATAAATGTATATTTCAACATTTTTTTCATCTCATTATATATCATTTCCCAGAAGTTTTTCACCTAGGAAGCATGGATCTAATGTTTGTATTTACCCCCTCACTTTGTACTCTTGAAAAGTTGAGTTTCAGATGAGGTTCAAAGGATGAGAAGGTTGTTGTTTTTTTCCTGTCCATGAACTATCCGTTATTTTGTATTTCAGGATTCAGATTATTATCATTGTGCACTTTGGAAGGGCTTAGGACACCTATTTGTGGTGTGGCAGTCACGTAAAAGTTCGTTGTAGGTTGTCTACAGTCACCTATAATACCCTGTTGTACAGTGAGGCATGCTTTACTATACCATCAAGGTTACCACACATTTCAGCTTGGTTGCAAGGTACAGCAAGGTTCAGGTGGCTGTGTGGCCAGAGGCCAGAAGTGACTGGCTCTCTCACACAAATCAGCTGGATTGATCTCTGGTCTCTCCTCCTTTCTGGTTCCTTTCCATTCTGTACAGTTCTAGAATGAAATGAGGTTTTAAAAAACACACACGAGAGAAAGGGCTTTTGCTCTTGGCATAGTTCTCATACCTGTGGAGGAAAGTGTGCCTACACCTTCAAAAGATATCGATCCAGAAACTTGCCCAGAGGCTTCTGGTACTACCCTCTTGGGTAAGATGCTCGCTACATCTTTTGAAACGAAACCTCAGTGATGGGGGCTTTGGCAGTTCTCAGCTGCAGGATTTGTGTGGAGAGAGCTGCACTACGGAAGGAGAAGCCGTTAGTTAATGCTTTTGAAAAATCTGAAAAATGCTTTAAAGTTTCTTGGAAGTGCTTCATGAAACACGAAGCCAAGCTGCCTTTATCTTTACTTTAAGGAGTATTTGATGCAGATATTGAAGAGACTTTTGAGGCAAGTAACACTGTACCGAAACAGACAAATGGTCCTGGAAATATTTGCAGTGAGGTGTGCTAGGCAGAGATCTAAGTCAATACACAAATGTTAATCAGTCTGATAGTTCCTTATCTTGAATATTGTCAGGTATGGGAGGGAGGGAGGTTTCAGATCCCCAAGGCCATGTAAGTGGCTGAAAGTGATTGGATCTGTAAGGGATTGGAGAATGGAAAGCACATCTTGCAGTTCCTAAGCAACTCTGAAAGCTCCTGTCTTCATTTCTCCTCATCTCTGCACCCCCAAAAGGGTTTCAAACAGATGGCTTTGCATTCAAGGGCAACTACAGAAAGTACGAAGGCAACAGTGGCAGCACATATAGCTCTATTTGCAGGTTAGAGTCATGCCTCCATTTTGTGTGATGGGTGAGCCATACCAAGATTGGGGCAAATAAAACAAAAAAATAATAATGAAAATATGCCATTCTATAATGGACGTACATTACGTGTACGCAGTGGAGGGTTTTCTAGAAAAATATGTGCCACACTTTTTAATAACAACAACAACCCCCAAAAAGTGCTGGTACTGTGTAACCTTGAGTACCCCCTGAAAAGAAAAGAAAAAAACACTGACTGTACAGTACAATGCAATATACTTAAATGAAATAGCTACGTTACAGGTAGGAGACTATTTGGTCCTGGATGGGATCCAAAAGTTCACACATAAACAAACCCACACAATAAAAGGGTGTTAATTTCAGATGTCTTTATATGCTCGTTATTGATATAATTTGGGGTAATGGTTTTGCACTGTGCAACAAAACTTAGGTGTAATGTGGGTTGGTGGGGTTGCTGTTGCTGCTTTATCAAAAGGCTGGATAAGAATTTTGAGGACTTATTTTGGATATAGTAACTCCTGTATTAGTGATGAAAGGTAGACAAGAGGATCACCATAGTCTAATCTTTCCGTTTCTTGACAACCTCACAGGTCCAGAGCCTAGAACAGCACAACCAAGTCCTTCTCACGAGATGGAACTTTTTGAAAGAACAAGACAACTCCCTTTCTGAGTTGGATATCAAACTCCTCTACGACCAGTACATGAACAGGCTGAACCTAGAGGTTCGATCAATTGATGCAGAAAAAGAACAGCTGGATTCAGAACTTGATGAAGTGTTGGATGCCATGGATGCCTTCCGTAACAAGTAAGTCTTCTCTTCTTTCTCTGGTATCAGGAACTTGTGGCCCTCCACATATTGCTGGACTACAACTCCCACCATCCCTGTCCATGGGCCATGATCAGGTTCCCCACTCCTGTTCTAGGTCTTTCACGTGTTTGGTGGACATATTTATAAAGCACCTCTCTCCTCCTTGTCTCTTAATTCATATCTTTCTGCATATTCTGTGCACCCCTCAAAGATTACACCTTCATACTTCACAGCTGTATCCACTACAGATAGTCCTGTATTGAGATGAGATGTCATAACAGAGAGAGAGAGAGAGAGAGAGAGAGAGAGAGAGAGAGAGAGAGAGATTTTCTAGAGGGCTTGTAAAATGAAAGATAGCCATTCTGTCCTGTGCTTGAGAGGCAAGAATTCTCCAACAGACCTTTGGTTGACATACAGAAGACTCCTTCCACCACTGCCCCTAATACATATTTTTATTCTCTAAAGTAAAAACCATGCACTTGCATGGTTGCACAACATAGGAGTTAAGGAGAAAATGTGGTGAGAGTTCAGCAGCGCCAGTGTTGTTGAAGCACTGCAGAAGACTTCTTCTTCTTCTTCTTCTTCACCAATCACTTTGCCTTAACAGTGAGTCCATAAGTGACTGTGGAGGCCAATTCTGGATCCACACGTCCTTCCACAGTGGGGGCATAGGTTTCCAGACTGGTGTTGATCATGATGAGGGTTTGCCAAATGTGCCTTCCTCTTAGCATATTTCTCCCTTTCCTCCTGAGTTTGTGCATCTTCAAAGTCCATGACACCTTTGATATAGGCTGTTGTCCAATTGGAGCGCTCGCAGGCCAGTGTTTCCCAATTGTTGGTGTTTATACTACATTTTTTTAGATTTGTCTTAAACCTCTTTTGTTGGCCACCAGCATTACGCTTTCCATTTTTAAGTTCAGAATAGAGCAGTTGCTTTGGAAGATGATAATCGGGCATCCAAACAACGTGACCAGTCCAACACAGTTGATGTTGAAGAATCATTGCTTCGACACTGGTGATCTTTGCTTCTTCCAGTACACTGGCATTAGTTTGCCTGTCTTCCCAAGTGATATGTAAACAATTCTGGAGACACCATTGATGGAATCTTTTGAGGAGTTGGAGATGGTGTTTATAAGTGGTCCATGTTTCACAAGCATACAGTAAGGTTGGTAGTACAATAGCTTTGTAAATAAGGCATAGTAGGATCCTAGCACAACAGCAATGGCCACAAGCTCATTGCGCCAGCATTGAGCCTCCTCTTTTGTTGAGATCTGCTCAGCTGGGCACCGAATATCAGATTGCCAATGCATGAAGAGATTTGTTCTCTTGTGAGAAACAAATAATACCCCTAATTTTAGACTTGGTTTTGTGAACCGTATTTTAATGTCCTGTTCCAATTGTTGGCTTGATTGCTAGATAATGCATGTTGGCTGAATGTGCAAAGTTCAACCAAATGGAAAGGAAACGTGAGAAGCAAAGGGAGCTTAATGTGTAATTAATTATGTGTAAATGTAGTCTACTTACCCTTCAGTCTCACTCCTCCTACAACATTCAGCTATTCTTTCTCTCTGTTCCTTCCTGGAGTCTGCACTCTTCTAATACCAGCCTGATATTAGTACTTGTATTTCCTGCCGACATTCCTTTTCCTTGGCAGCTTCCTGATTCTAGGACTCCCCACCCAACAGTCAGTTTTTCCTCTTCTATTAGTATATTCAGAAGTGACTTAAGGATGCACTTATTTGGTCAGTCATTGTTTTACTTTCATTTCATTTCCCTCCTTATCTTGTCCTGTTATAATTAGATTGTAAGGCTACAGGCAGGGTTTAAGACAGACAGACAGACAGATAGATAGATAGATAGATAGATAGATGATAGACAGATAGATAGATAGATAGATAGATAGATAAGCACACTCTGTTCTTCACCTAGCAGTTATAGTTGTAAATAAAAATGGATAAATAATAATATACCTACCTGTGAATAGTCTTAAAAATAAAAAAGATACATAGATGCAGCCATCTCTGTCATAAGCCCTATTTGCAAGTAAGTATTCTCAAGGTCACACCAACCTAGATAAAAGAGGAACTGGATTGCCAGATGGAATAGTGGGTGATTTGATGCTGCAGAACAAGGCAGGCGGGATTTTTGACACCGTATCTTTCACATCCATTTGGCAGAGCAGACACAAATCGTGGAACAAAGATCTTGAGAATGGGGATGTAGATCTGGGAGATCATCCAGGTGACCCTATGATCCCAACAATCCAGATGTTCAGGGTCATTTAGGTTAAACCATTGGTATGAGAAGGCATTCCCAGTTCCTAAAAATAAAGCCATCTGGATGTTTTCCTAGATCTGCTTTCCTAAGATCTTTATTTTTATTACTCTTGAGCAGGTTGGAAGATTTTTTACTTTTACTTTCACTGAAGCAAGAGAAACATGCCAGGATCCAGTTTGAGAACTTTGAAAAGATATCCCCTGACACCATCAGTCATTAAGCAAAGTAACGAGGCTGTCATTATTACACAATGGCAATGTTTCCCAAGGGAAACAACAACCAAAAAAACAAAATATGCCAGCAACATATTTAGCTGTAGAGTTAAAACCTGTGAAATTTCCTTTTAAAGATATTATTGTTGTTCTTTTCATAACAACAGCTGAGAGTTAATTAAATGTTTCTGTCCAAGGGCCATGCTTTTCAATTTGATTCTTAGGGCTTCTGATCACTTTTCCAATTGACTAAAGGTTTCTCTCAGTTTTGGACCAGCAAGTTTTATTTAGAGATGTCATGAAAATCATGATTTTCTGCTCGGAAAATATCATGGGTAGAAAATATGTGGGTGCTGGTGGCGGGCTGGGACTAGATGCATAAAGTGTTGCACAATTAAACCAATTGCCAATAATATGCATGCAACAATCATTTTCAGACAGTCCTCTCCTCTTTTCTGCTTCTTTTCTTCCTTTATTACTTGCATAATATTGATTCCAAGCTGCATTACATGTAGGGCTGCACAAATTACCATATTTTTCACCTAAAAAGTAAGGGGAAATGTGTGTGCGTCTTTTGGAGCAAATGCAGGCTGTGCAGCGATCTCTGAAGCCAGGAGAGCAAGGGGGATCTGTGCGCACCGAAATATACACCTTTTCTAAACAGAGCTGAACCAAAACGGAGGCTTTTTGTGCAAAAAGACTTGGAAAATGTGCATTTTCCTATTTTGGCAATTGTTCAGCCCTGTGAAATGGATTTAAACTGTTCTTCTCAGAGGGATGGCAGGAAGCTTTTCTCTTGCTCTGATTTGGCTTCTTGCGAACAGCATAGAGCCAGATTTGGTTGGCTTTGGTATCATCTGGAAGCCTGTATGTAACAAGAGATGCCACTGTAGGTAGATATCTATTGGATAAGTCTCCAGCTATTGCAATTGGTGCCAACATATTCCAAGTTTACCAAATCCATATACAGTAGTACCTTGGTTCTCAAACTTAATCCGTTCTGGAAGTCCATTCCAAAACCAGAGCGTTCCAAAACCAAGGCACGCTTCCCCATAGAAAGTAATGCAAAATGGATTAATCCATTCCAGACTTTTAAAAGCAAGCCCTAAAACAGCAATTTAACATGAATTTTACTAACAAGACCATTGATACACAAAATTAAAGCAATAATGTACTGCAGTCAATCAATCAATCAGTAGCTGAACTGGGTTCCACAAAGTCACAAAAACAAAAAAGAGCCACAAAAACAAAAATGCAAAATAAATAGCAAAAACAGAAGACAGACCTCAGCGTAACACTCAAAACGGAAGTGTGGCACTCAAATCGGAAGCGTAACACTCAAAACGGAGCATGTTCGGCTTCTGAAAAAAGTTCGCAAACCGGAACACCTGCTTCCAGGTTTGCAGTGTTTAGGTTCCAAGTTAACTCTGAAAGCTGTGCTTTTGCTTTTACACATTTATTAACGTTGTTGTAAAAACTTATCTCAAAAACCTGAAGCCATGCTAAAGGGACTTTCTCCTAATATAGCACTGCACTTCAGCTCAAACCAGCTTGACTTGTTACTGGATTGTTCAAAGGCCCCAGTCTACTGTCACAAAAGAAAGCATATTCTGAGTCTCCATAGTAATCTGGATACCATTTTAGATTTTAGTAAAGTGGGGCCGATATCAGTAGCGGAGCAATATTTTATCATGGTCTCCTTATTGCAGTCAAAGGTAGATTGCGAAAGGTCAGTGTATTCCAAGTACATTTGTTAAGATCCTTCCCCCCCCCCATTAACTAGCAGTGATATCAGTGCAGATGAAACTGCCATGCTTTTTTGAAGCAAAGGATATTTCAGACCCTCCAAGAGTCCCTATTTTCCAGGGACAGCCCCAGATTTACAGAAGCTGTCCTAGTTTTTGACATAATCCCAGAATGTCCCACTTTTCCTTAAGAAGCCCCTATTTTCATCAAAGAAATGTTGGAGGGTATGGAGTTATCCAACTCCCCAAGCCATCTGAAGATAGTCCTGTATAGGGAAGTTTTTTTCAAGTTTAGTGTTTTATTGTGTTTTTATATAACATAATAAATCTTTATTGCGGTCCAAAGACCCATAACATAGATTCAGAATAAAATACAGATTCATACAGACAACCCCCTGGGAGAGGAAGACCAAGACAATATTTGTTTAGTCTTGAGTATGATGATCTGTGATACGTATGACTACCAAAAGAAACTTTGCCATGGCCACTGTGATCATAGAATCATAGAGTTGGAATAGACCACAAGGGCCATCGAGTCCAACCCCCTGCCAAGCAGGAAACACCATCAGAGCACTCCTGACATATGGTTGTCAAACCTCTGCTTAAAGCCCTCCAAAGAAGGAGACTCCACTCATATCATTAGACTTGTCATCCAGAAGATATTCAGTATAGTAGGCTTCAGATTTACCCGGCCAATTTGCCAGTCAGGTTTAATCAATAGATCCCTAGCTTGCTCATATTGTCTGCAATGCAGTAGGATATGCCTCATACAATCGACGTCCTGAGAGCATGCGCAGACCCTATTCTGATAAGGGATGCCTCTCAGTCTGCCATTTAGCACTTCTGATGGGAATTCATTTAATCTGGCTTTGGTAAAAAGATGCTGATAAGTTGGTATAGACAGATTTCTAAGATATGCAGGTGTCTGAAAATCGAACCCATAGTGAATTCCTACTGCTATCGGGCCACAGATAACATGAGATTGAGATCGGAGATCACTATGTGATATTTCCCAGAGCATTTGTCTCAGAGATGTTTTTATATATGTTGGAAGCTGCTGCCCAGAGGCCTTGGGGCAACCCTCAGATGGGTGGAGTATAAATATTATTATTATTATGGAATAGGACGTCCCTATTTTCATTAGAGAAACATTGGAGGGTATGATATTTGTGTCTTTGGCACACACTTATACCAAGTACACAGGCCTTTTGAATTGTTTCAAATACTTTTACCAATTATTGTATAAAATCAGCAAGCTGGATATAGCTACTTCTGCAGAATCACATGTGCATAACATTGCAAATTTTATGCTGCTTACATATGTCACGGTTTCCCATCTTCTAGTGAAAGAGATTCCAAACTCTTGTTAGGAGGATATGTTTGATGCTCTATTTCTCTGTGGCAAAGTAAAACTCTGATAATGTCCTCATGATTGCATCCCACTTGATCACTTGAATTTCCAGGAACTATCAGATCAGTGGGATTCAAAACCTTCTTCCCTTAAGGAATCCTTGACATGAATTTGCCTTTCAAGGAGCGGATGCACATGGCAAAGGTTTGGCGAGCATGTTGTTAGGCGCATTCCTCAATTAGTGCAAAGCATCAACGCACCTGACCTATTATATTTAGCTATGTGTTCCACAAGAACTAAGAGTATAGCCAAAATGTCTGGCACTTTCAAGACTGCACATCATAATAATAATTTTATTATTTATACCCCACCCATCTGTCTGTGTTTCCCTAGCCACTCTTGGTGGCTTACACATTGCAAGGATATATTGTTAAAGGCACATAAGCTGTTGTCCACCATTGCTGCTCTTCTCATTAATAAACCTCTTAGCCCCCAGGGTTCCCTGGAACACAGTCTGAAAACTTCAGTCTTGGACTGAAAATGGCTGCTTCTGTCTTGTGTGTTGATCATTATATTCACTATCTTTGGTTGTTTATTTTTAAATGTGTTAGAGGTTGCTCTGGGCATCCTTCATGACATGGGTGGGTGTCAGGGAACTGACATCGGAGCTAGAGGCGGAGGGAAGGCTCTCAAATGATGCTGGAGAAGGGCCCAGCAGGGAGAGAGGCAGCTCAGCAGATGGGGAAGCAAATCAGCGCAACACCAGGGATAAGGAGGGGCTGATGGGGAATCGGCGAGAGGGCTCCAGGACTCTTCACCGGACACCAGCGGGGAGAGCACTGGTCCCCCGCTACCCACGCCCACCCTGCGCAGAAGACTTCCGCGCAGAGAGAGTAGGAGGAGACTGGGTGTCAAACAACTTTTATGTTGGAAAAGATTTAAGAAACGCCCACTGACGGATTCTGCTAGCGACTGAGGCAGCCACGAAGTGAAGGGCTGCCCAGACTGAAAGGTTTACCAAGGCAACAAAGCCTGGAGAGGCGGCAACTTACGCACGAGCAACCCATACTCATTATAGTGGGGAACCACCAGATGTTCCTGGACTGCAACACCATTATCCCTGACTATTGACCATGCAGAAGGTCAATGGAGTTGATGGGAGCTGCAGTTTAAAACACTTGGAGGGCCACAGCTTTCCCACCCCTTCTTTCTGACAACACAAATGAGACCATGCTGAGAAAATAAGAACAGGCAGCAGACAGGAAGTGCTAACATCCACTAGGCTACGCCTAATGTCATCACACTTGTGTGCAGACACTAACATGAGAGCCACTGTGGCGTACAGTGGTACCTCGGGTTACATACGCTTCAGTTTACAGACGCTTCAGGTTACAGACTCCGCTAACACAGAAATAGTACCTTGGGTTAAGAACTTTGCTTCAGGATGAGAACAGAAATCACGTGGTGGCGGCAGGGCAGCAGAGGGAGGACCCAATAGCTAATGTGGTGCTTCAGGTTAAGAACAGTTTCAGGTTAAGAACGGACCTCCGGAACAAATTAAGTACGTAACCAGAGGTACCGCTGTACTGTTTTTAACACTTGATTGGGAGCCACCCAGAGTGGCTGGGGAGACTCAGCCAGATGGGCGGGGTATAAATAATAAATAATAAATTATTATTATTATTATTAGTTAGAGTGATGGACTGGGGACTGGGCAGCCAGGGTTCAAAAACGCACTCAGCCACAAAACTCACTCAGCGATCTTGGGCTGGTTACTGTCTTGAAACCTAAGCTACCTCACAAAGCTGTTGTTAGCATGAAATGAGGTGGGGAAGAACCATATATGCTGCCTCGAGTCCTTTGGATGAAAGATGGGATAGAAATGTTATAACAAATAAAATAAAATATACAATATGGGTTTTACCTAGTGGGCACTTTACAATTATTCCCCCCACCACCACCTTCCTTGCCCTGCACTTGTGATTCTCAGTGAGGATCTCCAACTGTTGTAGTTGGGAATGAACCTTCCATGTCCGTATGAGTCAACTCCTGGATGCAACTCCTTGATCCTAGGGACTCCTACGCAATCAGCCCTGGTTAAAGGAACGTGGATGGTTTGGCAGGCTTTGATCAGGTTGGTCTGCAACCCCATCAAGACCGACATGCCTCCTGCTTGCTCCTCTCCTACCTCCCTCAGGTAAAGTATGTCAGGGCCTTGCAATACATAAAGCCTTCTCTCAGGGTGGGCTGAAGGCAGGAGGTATCAGAAGGAGTTGCAAAAGAGAATGAAGAGGGATCAGGGTTGTATGCATGAGGCAGGCTGTAATTAAGCATAGCGTGTGTGCTCTGGCAACAAGCCAAGCATTCCAGCCAAAGGGCAGAAGAACCAGAAGAACCAACATTTCTGCCACTATCCTTGTAATGGGGCTTATGAAAGAGGTAGCTCCCAGGGTGGGGAGGAGGTTCTGTCATCACCCATTCTGAATTGGAAGAGCTCTCTTCCCTCAGCCTCGGGCTCTTTCTGTTCATTGGGGCTTTTTCATACAGAGTCATGGTGTCTGCGTTGACTGCACTGCTGGTTCGGGGACTTCAGGGTTTGACTTAGCCCAGCAAGTCACCTTGCATGTTCAGGACCCACTTCAAGCACAGTAGAGTTATGGAACGTGTAACCACCAAATGTTCTTGGACTCCAGCTCCTATCAACCCCAGCCTGCCTGGCCAGTGGTCAGTAATGAAGGGAGCTCTGGTCCAAGAACATCTGCAGGGCCACAGTTTCCCCATCTCTGGAACAGAGGTTTGCAAGACCAGCTTCTATTATGGCTAGTCGTATGAAGCTTCTGAATGGCCAGGCCTGTCCTTCTGCCCTTGCCTGGATTTCTGCTTGTTGAATTTGTTCCCTTACCCCTGCTTGAAGGCTCCTACGCCAGATCTGAAAACGGGCGAACATTTCCATGGCTCCGGCCTAATTCTGTGAAAGCACTTCATTGTGAAATACCTCGGGTTACAAACACCTCAGATTACAAACACTTCGGGTTACAGACTCCACTAACCTAGTAGTAGTACCTTGGGTTAAGAATTTTACCTCAGGATGAGAACAGAAATCGTGCGGCGGCGGCACAGCAGCAGTGGGAGGCCCCATTAGCTAAAGTGATACCTCAGGTTAAGAATGGTTTCAGGTTAAGAACGGACCTCCGGAATGAATTAAGTTCATAACCAGAGGTACCACTGTAATGAGTAGCGAAGATTATTGTGAAATAGTAAGTACTTCCGTGGCGATAGGCTCTGATATCTCACTGGCTTTTTTTCAGCCAGATTTCACTGGAGCTCAGCTCTGGCACCTCTCAGATGGGCACCATTGCCATTCTAAGAGAACAAGGGAGATGTTTGTACTGAGCTCCAGCACCTCTTCTAGAAAAATAGCACTGGTCACTGCACACATTAGAAAAACACCCTTTTAATGAAGGGCATAAGGTGACCAGACCTGTGGAGATTGTTCCACTACCCTACCCAAATTTTCTGTGTTCTGCAAGAAATGAGAGAAGCGTGAGGGAAACTGAAGAATACAATAGTGTGATGTTGATGGTGTCCTGCAAATGCCCTGGAAAACATCAGTGAACAAAGTGTGGCTATTACACAGTAAATGCCTAGTGTAGAAGTTATAGATGGATTTCAAAGGGGATTAGACAGTCTGGTGGAGAATAAAGCTATCAGTGGCTACTAGTCAAGAACCTGCATGCCTCTGAATACCAGTTTCTGGAGAACAACAGCAGAAGAAAGCTATTGTCCTTCTGTCCAACTTCTGTGTTTGCCATAGGCATCTGGTTGGAAACACGATGCAGAAGGGACAGACCAGTCCATCTCAGCAAAGCTCTTCTTATTTGTGTTCAGGTTCAGCCCCCACTTTGCCCCCAGTCTGGCACATTTAAAGAGAGAGACTTATTCTCCAGGTTGCAGCCTGGGAACCCTACTGTGAGGCACTGTGCAATGCTAAGGCACATGGTGCAAACTGAAACCAACCTCTTAAGGTAATTTAAAGAGCAGAGGGGGAAAGAATTAAATGCAGTTTCCTGGTTCTGTCCAGAAACCTAAAGGCGGGGGGCAGGAGTAAAATGTATCATAGTCGTATCGATAACACACAACATCTGGAGCCCTCCAGCCATGCCTCAACACCACTCTCATTTGATCTCAGGAAAGGCTTGCTTTTTATTACTTAGACAATAACAAGCTATTGCATTACTGAAGAGAAAGCATTCTAAGTTGTTAGGGGATATTAATGCAGTCCATTGTGTTCGAAGGTTGCCTCGGGGCCCCTGTGGGACCTGCATGCCACCCAAGGCTACATTCCATTATTTCCTGTTGAGAAGAAAATGGATCACAAGTGTCTTTATGACTGCAGGCTGCCAGCATCACAAAATGAAGTTGCCTCACTCCCATCCCATCTTCTTTAGCTCCTTAACAAACCTGTTTAAAACACCTACAGTGATGGGGCCTCTTCTGGGAACTTAGATACAAGGGGGCACCACCCTGTCCATCCAGTTCTGTTATGCCTGGAGACGTTGGCATTGTCATCCTTTGGCAAAGCTGTATGTAAGTTGAGCAGATGAAATTGGAGATATAGGGCTTTGAGATCTTAGTCATTGTAGCTCTAACATTTGCTGCTGCACACTGTAGAAAGGATGGAAGCAGCAGGTGGTGGTGAGCATCAGTCAACACAATGCAACTCTTCCCATCACAATAATATAAAATGGCAGCAGCTGCCCTAGGTGTCCGCTCTGTATTTGGTGTTCTAGAAAGGGTTCCATTAGTTGAGCCCCTTGGTTCACATTTTGAGACACTATAATTATTGTTCCATGCAGGGGGTGGTGGTAGATGCTGTTTCTTATACCATAGGATATAATATAAACATTCTTGATGCAGATAAGGTAAGAGAGAAGCACTGTCATGGGAAGTAACCATATGAAATGGGCATTTGATGCAGAGTTTCCCAAACTCCCAAGCTGTTTTTGGACTACAATTCCCATCATCCTTGACCATTGGTCCTGCTAGCTTTGGATGATGGGAGTTGTAGTCCAAAAACAGCTGGAGACTCAAGTTTGCGAAATCCTGATCTGATGTGATAAGGAACTGCAGTGTGGTGTTGGAGAGGACCAGAAAGGACCTACAGCCACCAGCCACAATCGTTTTGAACTGTGCTTGGGAAGAAGGAAATGGGGTGGTGCAGATGAAGGAAATCTCTTTTGTTCTTTGAGGCAGTGGGATGACGTGATTAGCCACATGCTAATTAGATATTATTTTCCCACATCTTCTGCACTCGCCCAGTGCCCTTATTTCGCCTGCTATTATTTCTCACATTATTTCTCCTCCCAAACATTTCCTAGTCATTCTACAGACTCTTTAGGGCAGGGGCAATCTCTTATTGCAGCATTATCTGTACAGGACCCAGCAGAATGGGCCCATCATTCAAAATTATGTCTCTAAGAGGTATGATAATTCACAAGTTAATGAGATGATAGCTCAGGCGTGACTTTTTTGTGGCGTGTGAGTGGGATGGGATGGATGTGAAGGAAACACCGGTTCTGTTTCCTAAACAGAAAATGGAAATCAAGCTAGAGCAGCTAAATTATATGCACTGTTTAAATTATACCTTCTGCCATTCCGTTCATACCAATCATCCCTCTTTTCCTTTAGATATGCGGAAGAAATAAACCAACAGATCTTGAGAGCCTAAATTATATACACTGCTTAAATTATACCTTTTGCCATTTCATTCATACCAGCCATCCTTCCTTTCCTTTAGATATGAGGAAGAAATAAACAAACGCACTGGGATGGAATTCACCTTCATGACACTCAAAAAGGTAAAGTAGACCCAAAACTCTTCAGTTTCACATCCATGCAGTGGTAATGCTGGTTCCCAGCCCTATACCCACCTCCCTTGATGACAGCTGCATCACTGGCAAGGTTTACATAAAATCTCTTATGGAAGAGAGAGAAAACTTTTAAAGGCTTTTCCATTTTTGGGGGGTTGGACCATTCTTTTGTTTAAACCAGGAACCCCAAGATTGCTGCTTTGGAATGGACACAGGCAGGCATGAGAGAGAGACAAAAAGAGAGAAAATGGACTGGTTTTGAATGGGGTGGATATGGTTTCAAAGAGGAAGAAAAATGGAAATAGTGTGGTTAGACCTGACTAAGTTGTGTCTGCCTGAAAAGGGTGGTTATAGGTCCATTTGGACCACTAGGAATAAATGAAAAACAAACACAGTGATTATTTAAACCAAAAGGGTTGAAGTTCAAAAAGGTGTCAACCATCTCTTTTTTAATATAATGTATACACTGAAAAAAATATTACTGAAATGAATAAAGTGAAAGAGGGGTTGAAAATTGAGTTCTCAAAATTAGACATTTTGGCTTTTTAATTTTCAAAATTGATTTGCACTTTCTAATCCAACTTGTTAGTTTTGTCAATGTCCTGGCTGCCACTTACAGGACAAGCGAAACTTGGACTGCGATAATTGTCAAATCCTTACAGCATTTGTTATTTCTAGATACTGCTGCAAATGAATCATGATTTTGGGCAGCAGCCATATTATTGTATCGAATAATTTTGGCCTCTGACCTTGATTATAATTATTCTTCTGAAAAGGAGGTTTTAAAAACATTGGAACCAAGACAACCTGTAATTGTTCATTGTCATCTGGCAGTCAGACAAGCATGTCTGGGACAAACCTGTATGATTATAAGAAACTTGTTCAAGATTTCCATGATGTTTAAAGTGCAAACAGAAATTTCCAGCCTTTCCTGTTCTTAAGGCATAACGATGCTCTTGTGTTACTTCTAAGTTGCCTCACTCCACCTCTTGATGGACAGCCTTGAATGTTCATTGAAGGTGATTGCTATGGGGACCTTTAAGTACGAAACAAAGCTGGGCGTCAAAAAATATTCCCTGTGATATACTGCTGCTGCTATGAATTACGAATTCCTTTTACATGTGTTCATCCTGCATTGAAACCAGCTTGCAACTACCTTTCTGTTTACTCTGCTGGTGCCATTCAACAGCCTAATTTTTTCTTCTAATTCAAAGAGTAATTTGTGGACCAGCCCAACTTCCTTCCTTCTGTGATCCACCTAATTTCCAGCAGAATGAAGAGTTATATGCAACAATGTCATACCATTTGGGCAAGGACTTCTCCTTGTGCAACAAAACTTTCCCTCCCTCTCCCCCCCATCCCTCCCAAATCTGTTTATGAGGTTCCCCCTAACCAGAGTCACAATCTTTGCAAGTTGATTGAGTGGCCGGATCGACATCCTGATGTCACATGTGTGATGTCCTGAGGGCCGGGGGCAGAGCCGAACGTCCTCTAAACATTGAGGGGGTCTGGTCTCATCAAAAATACATTGGGGGGGACTGCCTTAGCCCCTAGGAGTTGGTGTAAAGGTAAAGGTGAAGGGACCCCGACCATTAGGTCCAGTCGCAGACGACTCTGGGGTTGTGATGCTCATCTCGTTTTACTGGCCGAGGGAGCAGGCGTTTGTCCGCAGTTTTTCCAGGACATGTGGCCAGCATGCCTAAGCCACTTCTGGCGAAACCAGAGCAGCTCACGGAAATGCTGTTTACCTTCCCGCCGGAGTGGTACCTATTTATCTACTTGCACTTTGATGTGCTTTCGAACAGCTAGGTTGGCAGGAGCAGGGACCGAGCAACGGGAGCTCACCCCGTCACAGGGATTCGAACCGCCAACCTTCCAATCAGCAAGCCCTAGACTCTGTGGTTTAGACCACAGCGCCACCCGCGTCCCAGGAGTTGGTGTGCATGCCCCTAACCCTCCAGAGCAAATGGCAGCATGAGGAAAAGGAGAGGGAAGGGAAGTTTGTTGCAGAAGCCCTTGTACAAATGGAACAACTTTGTTGGATGCAACCCTAAAGCAGTGATAAAATCTTACATGTATTTTGGGACATGGAGCGAAAAGGGAAGTGTATAACCCAAACCTAAATGAGAGCAGGTACACATACCAGAACTCCCTCAATCTGTGATTTTGGTTTCCAAACAGGAAATTTGGAGTTCCTCTAAAGTAGGGATATGGAACCTGTGGCCCTCTGGATGCCGTTGGACTCCAACTCCCATCAGCCCCATTCAACACGGTTAATGATCAGGGATGATGGGGGTTGTGGTCCAACAGCATTTGGGTGGCCTCCTCAAAAGCATCCGAAAAGTTTCCCAACAAGAAGATAGGTGGAGGAGGAAAAGCAAACCTGGAAAGTAGATTGTACACATGTTGTGATCTTCCATAGCAACGTGCAGCTTCAGAAGAAGGCTGGGTGAGTGTTGGATGCAGCTCAAATGTGGCAGCAGTGAGACTGAATATGCTTGCCATCACCTTATACAAATTGAGCATGCCCCGGAATAATCTGTACTGCCTGGAGATGCAGTAGTAAATGTGTAAGAGCATTCATTAACAAAGAAGTCAACATGGAAAGTATTCCTGAAAAGCAGGAGGTTTTTTTAAAACCACTGATCTTTGACATGGGTGTATGTTTTTAAGCGGCTTGCATTTTGTAACTGCACATATGGAAGTAGGAGAATCAGTGTATGATTATTCAATCCCTGTGGTACTGAATGGGGAAGGTCAGAGTTATGGTGGGAATGTTTAGAGAGCATCTAAGCATTGGTCAGCAGAGGGTACTTCTCCCCTCCTCAACAATATGTTGCGGCACTCTTAACTTTTGGTCAAAAGTTCCAACTCAAATGAAAAAACACAAACTCTTCTTCTCTTGCTGTTCTACACAGGATCTGGACAACGGCTTCCTGCACAAAACTGAACTTGAAGCGAAACTGAGTGGACTTCTTGCTGTAGCAGAGTTGATGAAAAATATCTATGAACAGGTAAGAGGAAGCATGAAAGAGCAAGGTGGGCAACAGGTGTGTTTTGCTTGCGTAAAGATTGGGCTGTTGGTCTATGGTGAATTTCCAGAGAGAATTCAGTTTTCTGTATGTTCCTAATTCAGTGAAGGTTCTCCTTAGTGCTTGTTCAGTTTTTAAACAAAGCACAGAGACACCTGTGGGTTACAGCTCATTCTCCATACAAAATCGGTGCAAAGCGAACAATGCTGCCACATAATAATTGGTGGGAACCATGCAATTTGATCTTACAAAAACACTGTCTGAGGCGTCAGAGCACACCAAGTGACACTTTCTCAGCCAAGGCTGATCCCTTAAGAACAGCCTTGCAAGACAAGGCAAACTCTTTTTGCAAAACAACAACAGCACAATAGCTTCAATGATGGCCAGAGACAAATTAAGAAGACAACTGCAAATTATAATTTTTTTTTTAAAAAAATCAGGGTTTATTTACTTTGACAAAATGCATAGAGCATGTAGCTGTGACCCTTCCAAAACATATTACACCAGTTATGACCCAAGCTGAGAAGCAAGACCTCTAATCTCCCCCAGGCACAGGATCTGCAACCAGGGTGCAATGACAGCCCTACTTGTTTGAGACACAAACATCTTCAGCTGCTTCAGGAAGGAATTCCCCAGCAGCACTCACTCTCCTGCCCACATTGCCCTCATTGCATTTGGCCTAGATACATAATCAGACGGTGACTTTTCCTTAGGAATTCAAGATATGCTGTCCGCAAGGAGAGTCTGATGAACTGCTTGGCTCAATCTCGCATGACAGTTCCTCTCCGTTGTGGAGACTGGCCCAGCCTTGCCAGTTGCTTTGGAAAGCCCATTCCGTTGAGGACAATCTTTCTCACTCTCGTTTGTCAACCCATTTGTGTTTTGTTCTTGTAATCCTGCTCCAATACCTCTTTCTTAAACCAAGCTTTTCTGCAATCACTCCGACCCCATCTACCACCTTCTGTCTGTGCCAGATATAGCGCCTTTGCCGTGCTCTCTCTTGAAATCAGGCTCACTTCAAGTCACTTGACCTTCCCGGCTTTCTCTGATGCCAAACAAATTAAGGAAGAGGTGTTTCAAAGCTTTCCTGAGCTTTATCATGCACATTGAGGTTTAGAACTCCCATTTATTGCTCCCATTTCACAGACAGCGCTCCAGCGATCAGCATAAAATGACTCCAAGGTTATTACATTAATGGAGTGGCCTTTTAATTAAAGTAGAACTAGTTTGTCACCATGTCTCCTTTGCTTCCATTTTTCTTGTGCATTGGTTGCTTTGGCCAGAAGGTAGAGACCGTAATGGTTGCTAGGACTGGCAGAGATTACTTTTCTTAGGCTCTTTCCATGGTTGTTTTGTACCTTCCTGTGCCTCTGGTCCTTTTCCTCCCTACTTTCTATTTCACAAGCAGTCTTGGTAGGCAGAGAGCCCACAGAAGTTTCCATATACAAATGCAAATGTCACCAGCAGTAAGAGATCATAACAGCAGCAGTGGATTCCCCTACCCAAAGCCCACCTGCTTTTCCCTCAGATTGCACCATACACATTTTAGCACCCTCAGATCCTCAGCTTCAGGATGCTTTACTTATTTCAAGCAGGTTACTAGACCTTAAGGTTACTGAAGTAAGTTTGAAAATGTCTAGGACAAAAATTCAAAAGACAAGGTAGAGGCTGAATAGGATTTCCGGTGTCCAAGACACATAGCTGAATATTCTGCTGGGTACACACTGGGAGGGACAAATGGCTATCAGAAGCAATATGTGAACACATATGTGCACAGTTGTTTGACCTGCTTCATTCATAACCGCTGTGAGATCTACAGATGGAGGGTGGCATACAAATTTAGTAAAAAATTATGGCCAGCTTTACATGGCACTGAAACCTAGACATTTTAAATGCAAACAGCCCCATCTCTGTTCTGCATGAAGACAGAAGTCAGAGTTATAACCAAGCCTAGACTGCAGCAGTGTTAGGAGTAGGAATGTACGGATGTCTCCAGGGCCGGATTTAGGTTTGATGAGGCCCTAAGCTACTGAAGGTAATGGGGCCCTTTATATGCCCAGCTCTCCTTTGTCAACAACAAATTGCCGCTGTTTTTTGTGTTGAATGTATGCTATATGGTAATTTACGGACCTAATAGGTTTCTAAAGCCATTTGCACATACCAAAATATGTATTTTATCAAAGTAATTGATATAGAAATGAGCAAACCAATGATATTTTGGGAAGCATGCTAGCAGGCGGGGCTACATCATAGGAGTCTACACAAAACAAAACACCGTTGCTGTATGTGGGTTTTATTTTATTTGTTTTTTATCTTATATTTTGGAAATGTACATCCAGGTGTGTTTTTTTCCTTTAAATTTTTTGGGGGCCCCCAAGAGAGTGGGACCCTAAGCCAGTGGCAGAGCTTCATGTTCTGGGGCCGGAGGGCGGAGAGCAGATGGGGGCGCGGCTGGCATGTGTCCCAAGGCATGGCGTGCTACCCAAATGGGCGTGGCACCCAGCATTAGCGGGAGGCATCTGCGATGGCACCCCACTGGGATCACGCTGCCGGGGGCGCTGCATTCCCCCCTCGCTCCTCTTCCTCCGCCAGTGCCCTAAGCTATAGGCTGTTTAGCTTATACGTAAATCCAGTACTGTTTGATTATTTGTTTGTTGTTAGCCGCCCTGAGCCTGGCTTTGGCTGGGGAGGGCGGGATATAAATAAAATTTATTATTATTATTATTACTGGGTGTGTCTCAATCCACTTCCCTTTAGTATTTTCTGTTTCACGGTTATTGGTTAATTTTGCACAAGCCTTTCTTCTGTTTCTCTGTCCAACATTATGGAAATAACTTTTCTAAACATATCATAGCACTTGAGGTGGGAGAGAAATTCCATTCAGTTCATTCTATAGGCAAATCTACCAAATTTGCACTTCCCAGACCAATATGCAAATCGATGGCCTGCGGTGAAATTTTTCCTAGGGGAACAGTTAGGGCCAGAGGCGCCAGCTTGTGAGGGTGATGGGGGGGTGACGTCACGTGTGTGAGCTTCCTAGGCACCAGGGGAACATTTAGGGCTCTAGCGTAGTTCCCCTAGTCCACTGACCGCACCCCACTGATGCAAACCAAAATACAGCTATCTTTCAGCATTTGCAGTTATCCAAATTTTGTGATACAGTTATCTAACCAAACAGTGTCTGCCATATATATATATGCATGTATTAGGGGAAATGGTATCAAGGTGGCATTGTTTGTGCTTCAAGTATCTAGATTGAAGATTCTGGGCCATGAAAAACAGGGTATGAATGAAAAGGGTCAAGCAAGTGCAGTTGTTTAAATTTTTGTTGAGTAGCCAGTCATTTTAATTATTGCTATCTGATGTTTTAATGGGGTTTAAAGAGTGTACACTGCCCTGATATTTTATCAGAGGGTGGTGTATATAAATAAAAATGTGCACACATGTCTGCATGATTTGCTCATATATGTTTATATATTGTGTTCTGATAGCCTTTTGCCCCTCCCAATCTTTAAACAGAACCTTCAGCTACGTGTCTTGAAAACTGGATATTCTGTTCAGCCTTCACTTTGTCAGAGTTCATGCATTTACAGAGGGGGAGCCCTGTTGGTCTTTAGCAGCAAAATCAACTACCTTAAAGATAAAATTAATGAAGTGGCTAACGGCTCAAGGGATGCGGGTGGCAATGTGGGTTAAACCACAGAGCCTAGGACTTGCCGATCAGAAGGTTGGTGGTTCAAATCCCCGCGACGGGGTGAGCTCCCATTGCTCAGTCCCTGCTCCTGCCAACCTAGCAGTTTGAAAGCACGTCAATGTGCAAGTAGATAAATAGGTATCGCTCTGGCGGGAAGGTAAACGGCATTTCCGTGTGCTGCTCTGGTTCGCCAGAAGCGGCTTAGTCATGCTGGCCACATGACCCGGAAGCTGTACGCCAGCTCCCTCGGCCAATAAAGTGAGATGAGCGCCGCAACCCCAGAGTCGGTCACGACTGGACCTAATGGTCAGGGGTCCCTTTACCTTTACCTTTAATGGCTCATCACAAAGCCATCTGCCTGGCTCTGCCTTCTGCCATGACTCTGCCTCTTGGCCCCTCCCCAAAGCTGCTAGCCTTAATTGCTGTAGAGTTAACATATCCTGGGTGTAGCCATTCTTCTGTGAATGCTTCAGAACTGTGCACACATACTTCTCTCTGCATCTATACCTCTAGGCTTTAGTTCCTTTTAAAATGAAGATGAGGGGTGTGCAAAAATTCTTGTTTACTTTACTCAGGAAATAGGTATATATGGAAGAGACAGTAATTTGAGAACTCTGCTTGGTGGCAAGCAGCTTTTTGCTACAAGTGGGCAAACCGTGGATTCCAGCCTCTGCCTTTGTTGCTTCCCAGTGAGGCAAGAGTCAGGGCAAGCAAAACTGCAACCCTTCATGTGGAAACAGTTATAAACTTCCCATAAAAGTGAGGACAAACAAAAGGGCTGAGACTGGTGGAGTTAAGCCATTTGCCTAATGGAGATTGGCTGTCACAAACCAAGGTTTTTTTGGAGAAAGGCATAGGTTGGAGGAGGAGGAAGCTGGACAAAAACACCCAAAGTGTTCTGGCTTCGGAATCCTTCAAGTTAGATCTTGCCTGCCCTTCAGCCACGCAGGCATGTGTGTGTGGTTTGCTTTCTGGGATTATGATGCCTTTGAGAGTTACTGAGCTGAATCCCGTCTTTATTAGGTGCAGTCCGGGCACCCTTCCTCTGTATCATGACAACATCAGTCATCCCGTGGGTATGTGCCAGAGGTCAGGGAGCTGCTACATGTGAGAGAGAGGGAGAGAGGGAGAGAGGGAGAGAGAGAGAGAGAGAGAGAGAGAGAGAGAGAAGGAAAGAAAAAAGGAAGGGAGGGAGGGAGGGAAGAAGGAAGGAAGGAAGGAAGGAAGGAAGGAAGGAAGGAAGGAGGGAAGGAAGGAAGGTAGGTAGGTAGGTTTTGGATCTAGGTGGAAATAGGGAATAGCTCATGGGCAGAGCTCATATTTTCATGCAAAAGGTCTCAGGTTCATTTCCAGATGGGATGTTAGGATTTCACTCCTCCCTACGCTGGAGTTATAGGATTGTTGGATCACATGTCTGTATGTAATGCATTTCAGCTGCTGAGTGTTAGAGCTATGCAGTGGTGCCCCGCAAGACGAATGCCTCGCAAGACGAAAAACTCGCTAGACGAAAGGGTTTTTGGTTTTTTTGAGCTGCTTCGCAAGACGATTTTCCCTATGGGCTTGCTTCGCAAGACGGAAACGTCTTGCAAGTTTGTTTCCGTTTGCTTAACACCGTTAATACAGTTGCGACTTGACTTCGAGGAGCAACTCATAGAACGCGGTGTGGTAGCCTTTTTTGAGGTTTTTGAAGACTTTGGTGATTTTTGAAGCTTTTCCAAAACTTTCCCGACCCCATGCTTCGCAAGACGAAAAAAACCACAAGACGACAAAACTCGTGGAATGAATTAATTTCGTCTTGCGAGGCACCACTGTATAAGCTGAAAGGGAGATATGCTGTTAGCTCCCTACTTCCCACTGTTCTCTCACAGCGATGTTTTGTTTCAGTGTTCTCTCTGAGGTAGAGAGAAAGAGGAGCCATGTTTATTTTATACTGTTTGTACTGTTATGTTTGGTTTCATTACACTAAATAAGGATTAGATGTTGCACCTCAAGGCTAACGCTTCTATTTTGGACTCTGCTGGTCATGTGCTCATGTCCCAGGAGGCTTTGGGTCGCATCAGTGTGACGGGAGACCGGAGTGAAGAATCCTGGGTGACACTGCATTGGGGAAAGGCACAAGGCCTCGGCGTTATCTCCCAACAGGAAACACCCCTTCTTGATACCCCAGTGTGCTGATGCTGGTTAGCATAGACATTTCTGAGCAAGATGGACCAATGGGGGTGGTATGATACTCACCTGCCTTGCAGAGCTGTTGTAGGGATTACTGAGGTGTAGGGACATATTTTCCAAATTACACCATCTTCCCCACTGTGGTAAGATGTATCATATTTCTGTTTAAATTATAGTCTTAATTTCTAAACTTGCTTCTGCACATATAATGTGTGTGTGCACATTTTATGCAAAGCTGTGACCTCCTTTTCACTCTCTCTGGGCATTGTGCTATGGTTACCTTATGCTAAGATAATGTCGGTGAAAAGTTTTGAATATCAAAAAGTGATAAGTAATGTTAACTGATATTATATCCATGCACAGCTGAGCTTCCAGTCCTTTGTTGCGAGCGGTAATTACATGACCTTGCATATGCATGGCAACAACTCAAGCCCGGTCTTCTTTCTGCTGTACCTAGGAACTTGAAGAGGTGATGTCACAAATCAAGGACATCTCTGTCGTGGTGGGAATTGATAACAACCGATACAACCCTGACCCTCACCGGATCGTGGAGGATGTGAGAGCTCAGTATGAAGACCTGGCTATCAGGAGCTGGGAAGAATTAGAGGCACTCACGCGAAGCAAGGTACACACCTGCTTGTCAATGAGAACTGCCCCCAAGCCCTTGATGGTGACGCCAGTCCTAATGGAAAGACACAGCAAAGGTGGAGGGCTTAAAATGCCAGAGCTGCTCAAAGAGAGAATGCAGAAATGGATGGGTGAAGAACTGAATATGAACCAACCTGATCTGACCTCCCAGACTAATGTGTGGAGATGGGATAGTCTGAGAGCTGGTGTGGTGTAGTGGTTAAGAGCGGTAGACTCGTAATCTGGTGAACCGGGTTCGCGTCTCCGCTCCTCCACATGCAGCTGCTGGGTGACCTTGGGGCAGTCACACTTCTTTGAAGTCTCTCAGCCCCACTCACCACACAGAATGTTTGTTGTGGGGGAGGAAGGGAAAGGAGAATGTTAGCCGCTTTGAGACTCCTTCGGGTAGTGATAAAGAGGGATATCAAATCCAAACTCCTCCTCTTCTACTACTAATACATACATATCTGATGTAGACCAGAGAGTGGGGGATTTTAGTCTAATTCCCACAAAATGATTATCTGCTCTGAAATATTAACCCACAGAGGAATTTGCTGGATGCTTTACAGCTGGCCTGACTATATTTCTCTCTTCGTAAAACATACATATATAATATGTTTCTTAAAAACCTGGAAAAGTAGCATGAATTTAGGCCGTTTGAATCACAACCCGAATAGCCCACGGACAGGGCTATTCTTTTAGTATATGCCCCACACTTAGGAAAATGACAGCTGCCTGCTTCCACCATGGCACTGCATAGCTTTCAAAAATATACGGATAGGACAAGTAGCAACAACAGATAAATGGAAAGGGGTAGACCTGATTCGTCCTTGGTGGGCAGAATTGATTGTCATCTCCCAGTGATGGGAAGGAAGTAAAGAGACCTCAGGAATTTGGCATGAATGGTGATACCCAGATCAAGCATGCTGAAGCAGCAAGGAAAGGGGAAGAAAATAAGGAATGAATAATGGGAAAGGGGATGTACAAGAAGAAAATAGATTTATCATTCAGTTGGGAAGGATTAGATACTGCTACTTTGGTCAAAAGGGTAATTCTATATGTGTGTGCTAATCCCCGTGGCTCAAGAGTTCTTAGAAAGGAAGGAAGTTTTACACGGAAAGTCCCAGCGGTAATGAGTACAATCATTGTTGCAGGTTTTCTCAGAAAGGTGTCTTGTTTATGGCCCCTCCATTCCTTGATCCTCTTACTTGGTGCCCATGCGTTGCTTTGTTAACAGGAGGGTAATATATTTACATTTTCTCCTCCAGCTGAATGAAAGAGAGGTACTATCTGCTAAGTATGGTGACCATCTGCTTCAAGACCGGAGGGTGATTGCCGAGTTAAACATACAGATCCAGAAAATGAGGTCCTGCATCGTGTCCTTGAAAAGCCAAGTAAGATGTGGCTGGTGGGAGGCGGGAAAACAAGAATGAGAGAGGGAAAACCCAAGACATATGCCAAATCAAGATTTCACAGAGATGTTGTACTCAACACACACACACACACACACACACACACACACACACACACCACACACTTTGTAAAAGTGTATGCTTTTTGCTATTCTAATGCAGTGCTTGACCTGTCCACATTCATGATGAAATTATGCAATATGAACAGCTGAATGTTACAGCAACTATGAAGAAAGACAGCAGGCAAAATGGGTGTGGTCTTGGCAGTATTCATGCTAGAGGGGCCATAGCTTAGAGCACATCTTTTATATACAGAATGTCCCTGGTTCAATCCAAGGCTTCTCAAAAACTGAGCCAAGGATGAGGAACTGTGATCTTCCTGGTGTTATTGGCCAAGAACTCCCACCGTCCCTTGACCATTGGCCTTGATGGCTAGGGCTGATGGGAGTTGAAATCCAACAGTATCTGGATTCCCTGGCTTAAACATTATTCCCCATTCCTGGCCTTAACTAACTAATACACTACAGCAGGACCGGCCTGCCCCTGAGGTAGACCAAGGCAGTTGCCTTGGGCTATGGAATCCAAAGGGAAGGCACCCCTGCAGGGCATCCCACCCACCTCTACCACTGTCAGAGAAGCAAGGAGAAGCAGTGGTGGTTATTGCAAGATCTCACTGCTACTTCTCCCAAGGTGGGGGACACCTCCAGCTCCCACTGCCACAAGGGGAAGCAGCTGTGGCTTCCAGGTTCCAGCAAGATATTGTGGGCTTCTTGCGAGATCTTGATGAAAGCCACAGCTGTGTGACCCCAGGAAGTGAAGCTTTGGTGGGAGAGGGGATAGTGGCAATTGTGTTTCACCTTCCTGGTTGCCTCAGGTGGCGAAACAGGACGGGACACCCCTGCACTACAGGAATGTGGGGAAAGTGTGTGGTGTGGAGGAACATTAGTAAAATTAGTTACAATAGGATCAAAGGACAGCATTTTGCCTGCTATGTTTTGTTAACCTACTTCGCATATCTGATTTATTGCAAGCAGGCTGTTCCTGACGATCCATTTATTCAGCATTCTGATCTGCATGCACAAAGTTTACCCAGTGGTTAGACTATATTCGGTCTTTATTAAGCATTCATTCTAATTAGTTTGCAGGCAATTACACGCTTATGAGGATTCACCCTGCATTTGCCTTAATTTTCTTGTTTACTCTTCTTCCTGTTAGTCATTCCTTCACCTCACACATTTCAATGCATCTCTCCATTACTTTCTAACCTTATTAAACTCTGAAGTTTTTCCAAAGTGGGTTTGTTGTGACAGGGTGACAGAGACCTTTAATCCACTTTAAATGCATAAACCCAAAGTTCTGGTATGTACTTGAATCCCTCCTGCAAAATACTGTCAGTCTGGAGGGACCCAGAGCCTGACAAATTTGTTATTGTTAATAGATGAAATTATATATGGGTGTCTCCAGACTGTCTCTCTATTGCTGGAGGGATTCAAGTGCATACCTTGAAATTTAGGTTTGCGCAATTAAGATAGATTCAAGCGCTCTGTCACCCTGGTGCAACAAATTCGCTAAAAACAACCAGGAATGTTTTTTGCCGTTAGGAAAGCAGCAGGAGAAATACGTTGAAAAGCGTGGTATGAATGCATCATTAATGGATGGCATGCAAACAAACCCTCACGCAAATGAGGATGAATGCTCAATAAAGTCTAGCTACAGTCTAACCTCCACAGAAACTCTGGGCAAGCAAGCCAGGCTGAATGCTGAATGAACAGTTTATCTGGAACTCAATATTGTTGCTTTTCCAGCATGGTTTGGGAGTGGTTGTTCTCAAATTTCACAGCATGATTTGTTACTGACAGAATACTTCAAGTGGTAGAGCAGTCCCTCTCTTCCCACCCTTCTCTATCTCTCCATCCCTCTCACGGGAAGTGTTGTAACTTCAGACCCTAGTCTTGCAAGGGACCTAACATCCCCCGGGAGTGCCCATCTCCAGAGAGAACATACCTGTGAGTGACCCATTCAGCATTTCACTTGGGTCAAATGGAAGGCAGTGAGCAAGAGGAGAGCATGGAGCACTCCCAGGCCATGTGCCCTCATTCATCACCTTCCATGTTGCCTTCTGTTCATTCTAGTGCCTGCGTCTCGAGGAAAACATCAAAGAGGTTGGAGCGCAAGGTGAATCTGCACTCAATGATGCCAAAGCCAAACTGGCTAAGTTGGAGGAGGCTCTTCACAATGCCAGGCAGGACTTGGCTCAGCTTGTCAAGGAGTATCAAGAGCTGATGAATATCAAGCTGGCCCTGGACATAGAGATTCTTACCTACCGGAAGCTGATGGAAGGGGAAGAAATCAGGTGTGTAAACTGACTGGAAGCCACTATGTGTGTGATTTGAACAGAGGCCAGAGCTGAAAACCATTCCTGTTCAAAATTGCCCTCTGGGAACTTTGAGACTGAATGTCCTGCCTGCAGATGGTATTTGTATATTCAGCTGTTTGACATCTTAGGACATTTCATGCTTGATGTTTTTCAAGAAGGGAAACAATCAAGAAATGTCTACAGCTGCACTCCCGGGAAAGTGCAGGAAGGTTCTACGCTTTCCTTGACCTGGAGTTTGTAGCTATTATTATTATTATTATTATTATTATTATTATTATTATTATTTATTTCATTATTATCATTTTATTATTTTATTTATTATTATTATTTTTTATTATTATTTTTAATATTTTTATGTAGCTTTTGCCGAGGGGTGGCATTCAGAATGGGCCCATTGAAATGGGGGAAAAAAATGACTAAGTTCATTCCCTTAATTTCAATGGGTCTGCTTTGAGTAAACCTTAATTAAATGCCACCCCGCCACCCCTAAGGAGCTAAGGTGCTTAGATAATAGGTTCCAGTTTCTGGCACACGACAGACATCCTGGTCTGAGATCCAGCAATGCTGGGCTACTTACCTAAAGTCATACCTCTGAAAAAGTATGTTGTAAAACATCAAACCAAATTCAAGGCCTGGTTCAGAGATTAATTCCAACACACAGAGAAGAGATGCATTAACCATATGGAGGGATGTGTATCTTTGCTGCAGGGCACTGGGGCTGTGCTGATGCCCCCAACCCTGATATTATATCTCTTCCTTACTCAACTTCCAAGTGTCAAGATGAAGCCTACTTGTGTAGACCTTTATCTGGCTTGGAACCCTGATTGAACAGGCTTCACCTATCAGATATCCTTGATCAATGCATGAACACTGGGGGCCCAGTGTAGGTACTGGATGACCTTAAGGGCGGGCCAACTTTGCAGCCCTTGTACACCTGAAGCCCCTTCACATGAGTAACATATGAAACAAGCTTCTAAGTGTTTGGAACTCTGAGGGTTCCTAATCCACCAGCATTCTACACATGTAGCAATGATGACTCCTATTCACATCCCAGACTTTTTAACCAAACTGTTGAACTCTACTTCTTTAGATGTTTTTCTCCTTCTGTAGCTTACCTCATTACCTTTTCCCTTCACAGCATGGAGTCCCCACAGCCTGCTGTCATTAGCAGAATCTACTCCATGCCAAAGAACTGTAAGTTTATTTTTGTTGTTGTTTGATTGATTATCAGCTATGCTCATTATTCTGAAGAGCATCCTACAGTTGACCAAGTTTTTCTAAAAGCTGAAAAGGAGATGGAGCTAAGAAGCAGCAGCAAGAAGGACTTTGGGCACCTGCCCAAGGTCCAGGTCCTTGCAGGAGGCCCACTATCAACACCTAAGGCATTCAGGCCCTGTTGCTCCTCCCGCTCGCTGTCACTGCTTGTTTACCTGCCCTCTAGATGCATGCAATTATTGTCAAGACAGAGTAGATAGAGCAGCACCCTCCATTTGCCTTGCTCTCTCCACCTGAGTGGGTGATTAGACTGGGCCCAAATGGAAAAAGAACAGCAGTTAAGAAAGTGGGGACAGTAACAAGGAGGTGGTGAGCCCACTCAGGGAGGTCCTACTAAGGTCTTCTTGCCGAAGCACCCTCCCCCCCAAAATAAAAACCCTGGAGCCAGCACTAGAGGGATGCTTTAGACTCAAATACGTAAGTGGAATGTCCTTCAAAATGAGAAACACTACAGTAAAAGTGCGGGGACGTAGGTGGTGCTGTGGTCTAAACCACTGAGCCTTGGGCTTGCCGATCAAAAGGTTGGCGGTTCAAATTCCCGTGACGGGGTGAGCTCCCGTTGATCAGTCCCTGCTCCTGCCAACCTAGCAGTTTGAAAGCATGCCAAAATGTGCAAGTAGATAAATAGGTACCGCTCCGGCGGGAAGGTAAACGGCATTTCCATGTGCTGCTCTTGTGTCGGTGTTCCATTGCACCAGAAGTGGCTTAGTCCTGCTGGCCACCTGACCCGGAAAAACAAACGCCGGCTCCCTCGGCTTGTAAAGCAAGATGAGCACCGGACCTCCAGAGTTGTTCATGACTGGACTTAACTGTCAGGGGTCCCTTTACCTTTACAGTAAAAGTATAAGAGAAACCTCCCAAAACTGCAACCATCCTCTCTGTTTTTCCTTCACAGCTTCATCAAACACCAACATCACAACCACCTCACATGCGGCAAGCATAGCAAATGAAGTTTCAACAGATAACATGAACCGTAGCAGGAGCAGTTTGGAAAGTGGACTTTCTAGAAGTCACAGTGGTGGAAGCAGAGGGTTTTCCAATGATGATTTCTCTAGAAGCCATAGCAATAGAAGTGGAGGTCCTTCAGAGGGTATCTCAGAGGCTTCAAGAAGTCATAGCAGTATCCGCAAAGGTACCTTGGAGAGTAGTACTTCTAGAAGCAGTAGCAGAAGTGGAAATTTTGCAGACATTGAAGACACCATGAATAGCAGTGTTTCTAGAAGTCAAGGTCATGGAAGTGGGAGTTATAGAAGTCACAGTAACAGGAGTGGAGATAACCTAGAAGGCAACCTCTCTAGAAGCCAAAGCAACAGAAGTGTTGGTTTGACTGACAGTGTATTCACTAGAACCGACAGTGGCGCAAGTGAAGGTGTCCAAGCGGGCAACTATTCTAGAAGCCAAAGCAGCAGAAGTGGAGACTTAGCAGATAAAGCTTTTGCTAGAACTCATAGTGGTGAGAGTGAAGGTGTCTCAGGGGGCAGCCTTTCTAGAAGCTATAGTGGTACCAGTGCATCCTATGTGGAAGGTGGCCTTTCTAGAAGCGAAAGTAATGAAAATGAAATCCATGGAAACTATGGAAGTGAAGCATGTGTTGAGCCTAGTGTTTACAGAATGAACAGTGCTGAAGACGGTGGGGTCCCAGTGGGTGGCATATCTAGAAACAATAGCAGGGCAAGCAGCTATGCCTCTGGTGGTAGCCTTTCTAGAATCCAGAATGATAGTAGCCATGGAAGTGAAGGGTATGCTGAGCCTATTGTTTCTAGAACCAACAGTGCTGAAGACGGTGGAGTCCCAGTGGGTGGTGTATCTAGAAGCAATAGCAAGGCAAGCAGCTATGCCTCTGGTGGTAGCCTTTCTAGAAACGAGAGTGATGTTAGCCATGGAAGTGAAGGGTATGCTGAGCCTATTGTTTCTAGAACCAACAGTGCTGAAGATGGTGGAGTCCCAGTGGGTGGCGTATCTAGAAGCAATAGCAGGGCAAGCAGCTATGCCTCTGGTGGTAGCCTTTCTAGAATCCAGAATGATAGTAGCCATGGAAGTGAAGGGTATGCTGAGCCTATTGTTTCTAGAACCAACAGTGCTGAAGATGGTGGAGTCCCAGTGGGTGGCATATCTAGAAGCAATAGCAGGGCAAGCAGCTATGCCTCTGGTGGTAGCCTTTCTAGAAACGAGAGTGATGTTAGCCGTGGAAGTGAAGGATATGCTGAGCCTACTGTTTCTAGAACCAACAGTGCTGAAGATAGTGGAGTCCCGGTGGGTAGCATATCTAGAAGTCATAGTGGGGCAAGCAGCTACATCTCAGTTAACAGCCCTTCTAGAAGCTACAGTGATGAAAAGGAAGCCCATGACAGCTCTGCTGAGTCTGTGGTTTCCAGAACCAACAGCGCTGAAGATGGTGGCGTTCCAGTTGGTGGAGTTTCTAGAAGCAGCAGCCAGGCCAGCAGAGATGGCTCACAGGGTGGTTCTTTTAGAAGCAGAAGTGGAGGCTTTGCAGACACTGTTTTTACTAGAGCCCGCACTGAAGGTAGACAAGAGGGCAACCTTTCTAGATGCTCTAGTGGTACTAATGCAACCTTTATAGAACGTAGTGCTTCTGGAAGTCATAGCAGTGGAGGCAGAGGCACCTCAGAGGGTAGTCTTTCCAGAAGCCAAAGCAGCAACAGTGGAAGATTTGTAGGTGGTGGCCTTTCAAGAGACCACAGCAGTGAAAGCAAAGAAAGTCATAGCGATAGAAGTGGAAGGTTGGTAGATGATCACAGTTATAGTGAGGCCCATAACGTTATCTTAGAGTCTGGTCTTTGTAGAAGTACAGAAGCCAAAGGCGATAGTTTTGCTAGAAGTCACAGCGGCGAGAGTGGAAGCCCTGTGGAGACATCTACTCCTATTTGGATTCACAGAAGAAGTGGAGATGCTATAGAGCCAAGCTTTTCTAGAAGCCACAGTGGAGAAAGTGGGAGCTTTAAACCAGCTGATTTTTATAGAAGCTCCAGTGAAGTTAGCAGAGGCGCCTCAGAGGCTAGTCTATCTAGAAGCAGCAGCAAGGAAACTGAAAATATCCCAGAGGGCACAGTTTCTAGAAGCTACAGCTATAGATGTGCAGTTATTTCACCCCCTAATTTGTCCAGAACTGAAAGCGAAGATGCTCCAGAAAGCAGTCTGTCTCGAAGCCACAGCTCTGAAAAAGAAAATGTGCCAGAAGTTGGTCTCTCTAGAAGCTACAGCAGCAGAAGTGAAGAGGCCCTAGTAGATAACCTGTGCATAAGCCACAGTGGTGGACATGAAGGCTTCCCAGAGAGTGGACCTTTGGTGGAGAGAGGCCTTTCCAGATCCCAGAGTGATGAGCCAGCAATTGGAATCCCTGTCTGTATGGTCTATGAATTTAGCACTGATGAGCACCACCACCTTCCAGCTGGTGAAATATGCTACTATGTTGAGTCTGGCTCTATGGAGTAAGTGTCCTAGGAGCACATGACTGGGATCCAGATACCTTCTTCTAGAAGCCTCATTCCATCCATTGACTCATGGTCCACCGATGGAAATCCACATTAAGCCTTAAATTACTGAGGTTAACAGTTGGAAATCGGACTCCTACAGGTGGCAACGACCTTGTCTCTTAGGGTTTGTGGGGGTCAAGTTCACAGAGTAGTATTCTCTGTGGTGAGGGAAAACTAGTATTGGAGTTATAATACCAGCATTACCTATTAGAAGAACCTAGAAGCCAACAGGATAGTCTTTTGACTTGTATTATAAACAGTGCCCTTTCTACCTTCTTTCTTTTTCTTATACTCAAAAAAATTAATATGTAGATTAAATTATTTCTGGGCTTTTTGAAATACAAGTGGTGCTCAGCAAGGGATTTTTTTGTGTGTGTGTGAAATGCAACCAGTGGGGACATTTCACTGCTCCTCTTCTGGCTGCTTTTAGGGACACCATTTTGAGTTTATCTGCAGGATTCTTAAAGGCAGAGCATTTCTCCCCCAGTTCCTCAGAAGGCTCTGGCAAACTAAAATATGTATCTCACAAGTCAGGTCATGGTTGGGCCTCGTCTTGCTAAAACTGTGTTAAACACTTGCTTTTTTAATAGGCCCATGCTACACTTCATATACTTCAGCTGCCAAAGTTTTTTTTGCTTGTGAGCTATTCCAAGACTCTTGCATACAGATAAGCACATGTCACATGGGGTCTTAACTTGTCCCCATCTGGACAAGACCCGGTCTATAACAGATGTAGAATTTAGTTCTTCCATCCCAGTTCTTCAGAGTACCTGCCAGTTGCATGAGACAATAGCACAAACTCTTATTCCCTTATGCTCCTGAAGCAGAATGTGAGCATATACAATCTCCAGGTTAGATGCCACGAAACTCCTAGTGCAAAATAGATGCTAAATGATGCAAAATTAGTGTTTGTAACCATGCTACCATTAGGAAGACAGTGGTACCTCTGGTTATGAACTTAATTCGTTCCGGAGGTCCGTTCTTAACCTGAAACCGTTCTTAACCTGAGGTACCACTTTAGCTAATGGGGCCTCCAGTTGCCACCGCACCGCCGGCACGTGATTTCTGTTCTCATCCTGGGGCAAAGTTCTTAACCCGAGGTACTACTTCCAGGTTAGCGGAGTCTGTAACCAGAGGTGTTTGTAACCCGAGGTACCACTGTAGCTGGTAAGGAATTGCCCGTTTGTATTTGCTTTGAGAGAGCACCATAAGAGCCAGATAAAAAGTAAGTGCACCTCCGTGATTTTTAGCATAAATTCTGGGCTAACTGCCTACCCAAACATAGTCACATGCTAGCATTTTGTAGATTCAGGGAACAATGGAGTAGGTAGGTGGGCAGAACTTTGCATGTTCATATAAGCTTAGATAGGTGTTGGTGTAATGACTATAGATAGGTGTTGGTGTAGTGTTTCCTTTCTGTATCAGCAAGTTGTAGAGCTGAACATGTGTACTCAGATCCAGGGACTGTGGAGTCCAGTGATTAGAGACTGAGCAATTAACTTAAGCCTCATTGTGTACTTCAGCTGCGCTGCTGCTACAATGGCGCCATTCCATTGCCCCTCTATTTCTGCTTATGGATTAGACAAAGTGATGGAAGCTGATCATAACTAAGCCTGGAACCCTGTGCATCCTTACCTGGCAGTAAGACCCAGTGGGACTTACTCATGAGTAGGCATACCGAAGATTGCACTTGCAAATAGAGAAGAATATATTCTTTTTAAAAAAAAAGAAAAAGAAAAAACCCAAACAAATTAAAAACAATATGCACATGATAGTTAAGCCTAGTTGGTCAAGGAGGAAAATATTTAGGCAGTGATTACTAACTCAGAAGAGTAATGCCAAGAAAACTGAGAACAATGTGGAAAGTTACTGGGGGGGGGGGAGAGAGAGAGGGAGAGAGAGAGAGAGAGAAGGCAGGGGACTGACTGTGGAATGTGAAGTGAGGATTTTCTCCAAAGAAAGAGAAAATGGGACCTTTCAAGTTTGCCTTGATCACAGGTCAAGGACATGAGCCCTGAATTGTATTGGCCTATTTCTCAGGTGAGGGTTTTGCTGCAGGTGTACACATTGCATATGGAAGTCAGCTGTTAAAGTTAAAGACAAATAGCAGATCTGAGGTTAGGTGCTATTCTCGTAGGATATTTATTAGTATTTGCTGAGATGATACCATTAGCATTACTCATATATTTGTATAACTTATTTTGGTTCTTCTTAACTTAATGCTTAGTTTTTCCTTTGTTTGCAACTAAATATATAACCTATAGGGGAGCATTTCTACACATTGGGGTCAAACTTTGCCATCAACCTGCACTCCTGCAACCTTATTGGTATTGGATCTTGATAGGCTTTGGGGCACAGCCCATAATGGGAATATATAGGTGAACAGGCCAATGAGACCACAATTGATTTTCCCCGATGGAAAATTTCTAGGTCAGTGAAGACACCAATCTTACGCCATGTTGCGGAAGGGAAACATAGTTAATACATACGTTGCATATTTTCTGCTCTAAGAGGAGTTGGATAGATGCAACAGCTTACTAAAACGAGGATGTTGACCTCCAGTGCTTGGCAGTTTTTAAAGCACACTAGGCTGGAGACTAGGGAGTTAAAATTTCACAGCCACTGACCCGTGCAGTGAAATCTGTTCATCTAAAGGTAACACAGCCAGATTTGGGTTTATCAAAATTTTAAACTGGGTCTCTCTTCATCACCACTAAGTTCGAGAACCATCACAATAACCAGATGGCAACTTAAAGCAGATGAGATTTCTGATTCTTTGACTTTGTTCTAACTTGTGCAAATTTCTGTGGGCAAGGTATTAGTTACTTGGGAAGCCTGGTCCATAAGGTTGCATGATGCTGTTGAAGAAAAAATCCTCTTTGTTTATTTCTGTTGCGTTGTATTAAAACATGGCTGTGTTAATAAAAGTACTGAGCTATTTAAAAACAAGGTATAAGAAGTGTCATTCATTCCTCGAAAAATACCTGATTCCTATACCAAACATCTGCTCTTACATTTCAGCAGCAAAATTCCAGGCCCACTGACTGCTCCATAGAACCCACACTTTGGATATCTAAAGCAAGTTATCATTAAGCTTTTATGTTCAGCTCACAAAGTATTTCAGCACTACCTAATACAAAAGATCCTTGTGTGATGGGTTTGCCAAATGTCCCCTTTTTAATTTTTTAAAGAAAAAAACAGATACTTTAAAATTAGGGAGGGTCATATAAAGTGTGTGTGTTCCACAGAAGACAATATACAATGTTTTTGCATAAGACTCTGAAAAGATGACATGCCTACTTCTCTGGAAGGAACTAATATAAGTTACTGAGGCTTGTGATCCTCACCTACTTGAATTATATTTATTACTCTATTTATTACAATCAAATTTCTAGACACCATATAAAGTCCACATAAAAGTCCTAGCTTCCTAGCCAGTTATCAAAGGGTGAAAGCAAGGATAAGAAGCATGGGCAAGGCAGCACAATATCACCACACGGTACTTTTGCTAAAATGCACAAAATTCAAAATGTGTGTTCAATATCTTCTTCTTCTTTGGCGATCCCTCATAGCCGAGTAAGATTGTCTTCCATAAACAGAGTTTTAACAGTGAGTCCGTAAGTGACTATGGAGGCCAATTCTGGATCCACACGTCCTGTCACAGGAGGTTTCTGGGCAGGAGTTGATCACGGTGAGGGTTTGCCAAGCATGCCTTCCACTTAGCATGTTTCTCCCTTTCGTCCTGAGTTCAAGTCTCTTCAAAGCCCATGATATCTTTGGTAAAGGCTATTCTTCCACTGGAGCACTCACAGGCCAGTGTTTCCCAGTTGTTGGTGTTTATACTACCTTTTTTTTAGATTTGCCTTGAGAGAGTCTTTAAACCTCTTTTGTTAACCACCAGCATTACGCTTTCCATTTTTAAGTTCGGAATAGAGTACAGTGGTACCTCAGGTTAAGTACTTAATTTGTTCCGGAGGTCCGTTCTTAACCTGAAACTGTTCTTAACCTGAAGCACCACTTTAGCTAATGGGGCCTCCCGCTGCCGCTGCGCCACCGGAGCACGATTTCTTTTCTCATCCTGAAGCAAAGTTCTTAACCTGAGGTACTATTTCTGGGTTAGCGGAGTCTGTAACCTGAAGCGTATGTAACCTGAAGCATATGTAACCCGAGGTACCACTGTAGTTGCTTTGGAAGACGATAATCAGGCATCTACACAACAGGACACCCAACGGGCGTTTCTGTCCATGGCACTGCCCTCTACCTTTTTATTGTATTTAGGATATAATTTACCCCCTGACAGTTCAATCCACTGAGGTGGAAAAAAATGTTACTACTTCCCATATACAATTCTATTCACTCCTATGGAGTGCACGGGGGGGGAGGGGTGCTGCCATCCTCTTAGGAACATAGGAAGATTCCTTACGCTGAATCGGAAGTCAGCCCATTGGTCCATGTACAGTAGTACCTCGGGTTACATATGCTTCAGGTTACAGACGCTTCAGGTTACAGACTCCATTAACCCAGAAATATTACCTCGGGTTAAGTACTTTGCTTCAGGATGAGAACAGAAATCATGCTCCAGCGGCGCGGTGGCAGCGGGAGGCCCCATTAGCTAAAGTGGTGCTTCAGGTTAAGAACAGTTTCAGGTTAAGTACAGACCTCCAGAACAAATTAAGTACTTAACCCGAGCTACCACTGTACTGTCTCCGGTTAACAGGCAGGGTTTCAGGCCAGGAACACTCCCAGCCATACCTGGAGGTGGTGAGGATTAAAATTGAGACTTTCTGCATTCAAAGGATATGCTCTACTATTTGACCTACAGCCCTTCCACCGATTCCTGACACAGGGTGGTCGACTCTCTCTGACAGTGATGTTCCTGGGATGCAGAATGAATATCCACACAGAACACTATAAACTTCCAGGAGTCCTTGCTAAACGGAAACCCTTCCGTTGTGCGTATTTAACCACCCTGCATAATAATGGCCATTTTGCCTGTTCAATAGTTTCTCCATGGCAGTAGCAAGCAAAACATCTCATTCCCTTGCTTTCCTAGTTCATCCCACGTAAACTGAGAAAAGTCAAAATGTCAAGTTTTTGGCTGTCTTTAGAAAACAAACATCATCATCCAAGGATCAGGCTTTAGTTATTCGACCGCAATGTGTATTCTTAGTCACCATAAAATGCAGATACTCGTCTGCAGGGCAAACAATTTTGACAGATTAACATTGTGATAGGAGTATTTCCAAATGGAAATAGCAAGGCAAACAAGGTGCCTCAAAACAGCAATAAGAGGCTCTCCAGAAGTGACTCACCAAAGAATTGCCTTCATGCTTCTAGCCACTATGGGGAAAGTTTTGAGCCAGCCCTGGATGGTTTGCATTCTGTTCAGGGAAGGTAAGTCAGCCTGAGCTGCTGCCTTGAAGCATTCTGGGAAGAGATCTTGTAGCCCCTTTTGGAAGAGAGCCGGGCAGTAGTTCACATACATAGACAGGAGGACACCTAGACCTTTAATTATCTATTTTTCGTTTGAGATTTGGGCCATCTTCTTGCAGGAAAGGAACTTTCTGTTGTTCAAGAAAGGAGGTGAAATATTGCTGGTACCTCATAGCAAACATCAGGGTTTTTTAAACCGGCAGATAATAATAATAATAATAATAATAATAATAATAATTATTATTATTATTATTTATTATTTGTACCCCGCCCATCTGGCTGGGTTTCCCACTCTGGGCGGCTTCCACAGAGACCAAAAATACACTAAAATGTCACACATTAAAAACTTCCCTAACCAGGGCTGCCTTAAAATGTCTTCTGAATGTCAGAGGTTGTTTATCGCTTTGACATCTGATGGGAGGGCGTTCCACAGGGCGGGCACCAATACCGAGAAGGCCCTCTGCCTGGTTCCCTGTAGCTTTGCTTCTCGCAATGAGGGAACCGCCAGAAGGCCCTCGGCGCTGGACCTCAGTGTCCGGGCAGAACGATGGGGGTGGAGACGCTCCTTCAGGTATACTGGGCCGAGGCCGTTTAAGGCTTTAAAGGTCAACACCAACACTTTGAATTGTGCTCGGAAACGCACTGGGTACGTAGATGGAGAGCAGCAAATGTAGAAACAATTGTGTTGTTTAGATGAGCAGTGAAATTACCCTAAATTGATACTGGGGACATCAGATGATGGAGAAAGGGACAGGTTTAAACATACTCACAAGCACACTCAATTCTGCCCCTTACTCTCTCCTACATAAATCCATAGTTGCCACTGATCTGTAAGGAGTAACGTATATGGCAGCCTTTCTCAAACTTGGGTCCCCAGGTGCTGTTGGACTACAACTCCCATCATCCTTAACTGCCAGGACCAGTCACCAGGGATGATGGGAGTAGTAGCCCAACAACATCTGGGGAACCAAGTTTGAGAGAGGCTAGTGCATGGGTAACAATAGTTGACTGAGGGGAGCCTCAGTCATCCAGCGGATCCCACCAAACATTGACTTAGCTATACAGTGGTGCCCCGCAAGACGAATGCCTCGCAAGACGGAAAAACCGCTAGACGAAAGGGTTTTCCGTTTTGAAGTTGCTTCGCAGGACGAATTCCCCTATGGGCTTGCTTCGCAAGACGAAAATATCTTGCGAGTCTAGAGATTTTTTTTTACGCTTTTCCCCCCCATTATCTAATCTGCTAAGCCTTTAATAGCCTTTAATAGCCTTTTAGCAGCTAATCCCCTAAGCCTTTAAGCCTTTAATAGCCGCTAAACCGCTAATAGCGCTAATAGCGCTAATCCGTCAATGGGCTTGCTTCGCAAGACGAAAAAACCGCTAGACGAAGACTCTCGCGGAACGGATTAATTTCGTCTTGCGAGGCACCACTGTATCCCTTTATTTTCCTCCAATAGAATGGGTACCATTTACTTCTATGAAAAAATAAAGCATTATGCCTGGAGGTAGCAGTTGTGGTGGGATCAAAAGTGCCCCTCTACCCCTGGGTAGTCTGGCCTGTACACAAGGGGAAGGGTCTTGCACACAAAAGAGAGAGATAATTGAATACAGGCTTTTCCCTTACCCTAAGAGCCCTCTTGACAGAGTTACAATCTATCTGTTTCTAGGCCAGCTGAACGTGGATGTTTCTGGATGGAAGTTGAATAATGCAGGCAAGCTGCTGAAATATCACAAATGGTTCATTGGCAATGGGGGCTGGGGGGTTTTAAGTAAAACTGAAATGTAGTGAATTTTCCCCAGAAAGGGAAAATCTAAATTAAAGGGTGGGTACTGTTCACGTGGGTGGCGCTGTGGGTTAAACCACAGAGCCTAGGACTTGCCGATCATAAGGTCGGTGGTTCGAATCCCCACAACGGGGTGAGCTCCCATTGTTCAGTCCCTGCTCCTGCCAACCTAGCAGTTTGGAAGCACATCAAAGTGCAAGTAGATAACTAGGTACTGCTCCGGCGGGAAGGTAAACGGCATTTCCGTGCGCTGCTCTAGTTCGCCAGAAGTGGCTTAGTCATGCTGGCCACATGACCCAGAAGCTTTACGCTGGCTCCCTCGGCCAATAAAGCGAGATGAGCGCCGCAACCCCAGAGTCGGTCACAACTGAACCTAATGGTCTGGGGTCCCTTTATCTTTTACTGTTCAGCACTTTGAAGCCAACAATGTATAAATGTTGCAAAAAAATAATGTGGGCATAAGGAGCACCCGTCCCATAATAAATACTTGTCCAGAAGCACCCTAGGTGGAATGCATAATAAGAGCATCACACATAAATAGCCGAATCCCAAAATTGCATCCATACATTTTCCCTACTAATGCAAATAGCAGCTTGAGGAAGAGGGGTGATTTTCATCAGGAAGCCAGTATGGGTCTCTTTAAAAAGCCTTCCCTATTGCTATGTGCCCGATTTGAATGGAGTATTTGTGCATGTGTGTGTGTGTGTGCGCACAGATGATTCTAGCCTGGCCAAAAGA